TGTAGGGTGTAGGCGATAGGCGTTTATAATTTTATTGTGTCTAAGGTGGTTGTGGACAGAGTGTGGGGTTACTGGGGTTTCTTTGCTCTAAAAGAGCTTTTTTTTTTTTTTTTTTTTTTTTGGTTGTGACAGTTATTAAGAACCTCCGCGGTTCGAACCGGTTCGAACCGCGGCTTTCTAACCGGCCGGCAGAACCGGCGGTTCCAACCGGTTCCGACCGGTTTTCTGGAACCGCCAGGTTCTGGTCCAGAAAAATCTGAACACGGAACCGGAACCGGGAAATATTCCGGTTCCGGTTCCGGTTCGTCCCGGTTCCGGTTCCGGACCGGTTCGACGGTTCCGGTTCGTCCCGGTTCCGGTTCCGGACCGGTTCGAACCGGCGGTTCCGGTTCCAGGAACCGTGATTTGGCCAAGCCTACTATGTGGTTACCATTGGTAAATCCTAAATGAGACTATGAAAACAATTTTTTTTTCTCAATAAGTAAAAAATTTATATAATGAAGTTATAAATAACTATGACCCAACTTATATTTTTAACTAATGTCTATAAAAGAAAAGCTTTTTGACTTTTAGAAATGTGTGCCCCTTTCTCTCTCCCTTCTTCATTTCCTTTTTCTTTATTGAAACACAAAAACTAAGCATATAGATACAGAGAGGGACTGATTCTTGTTTTTTTTAACAATTCCTTCATAATGTTTTTGATTTTTTTTTACAAATTTTTATATATATATTTTTTAAATAAGTTACATATCTATGTCTATTTTTGATATAGAAATATATTATTTATGTTTCTGCTATTTTTTTGTAGTTTATTTTCATTTTGAGTAGAATTTGTAATATCTCCATTTTATGTGGAGTTTTTGTTTTGTTTTTTTTGCATATGTTTTGTTTTATTTGGATAGGCGCGTGATTTGTGGAGAGTGTTTTAAATACATGATGATATTTGTCTTTTGAAGCCTGGTAGTGCAATCTGTTCCTTCATTAGATTTAGTGGTTCAAATCCTCTGTATTCATCGTAAGCAACTAGTTCATGAATATTAAACTATGTATGAAAGATTCAGAGAATTTGTCTAGCCAGCCACTTTGAAGATCTATTAATTTTTTCAATTTTACCTTTCAATTTTTATTAGAATTTCTTATTAGATTAATAAATAATAATTATTTTAATTATAATAGTTTTGTTCGATATTTGATTTGAAGATATTTGATCCGAAGATAATTATCCTCTTCGGATTATTTGTACAAATTTGAAGCTTTTGATAAAATCATAAATTATATATTAAAAAAAAACTTTTTGACTTTTCAACTCCTCACTTCCCCATGATACGAATATCATTAATTCATTACTTAATGAATAAATTTTAAAATTAAAATAAATAATAAAAAAATCTCCAAAATAGGAATACATAAAACTAATCAAAGAGAAAGTTTTGCAAATTTTTATTTTCCAACCCTTCAACTTTCCTATGATAACAAATTAATCATTCATTAATTATTTAATTAATATACATGTAAAATAAAAATTTTTCACTTTTCAACTCTTTTACTTTCTTATTATAGCAAATTTAGTCTCATTATTTAATTAATTCTCCTAAATTTTAGCAAAAAAATTCATTATTTAAGAAAAACGCCATTTATCTCACATCATTAATTTGATTAAAGGTGATTTTAAAAAAATTCTATAATAGCTATTGTGTTTAATAAAAATAATGATAAAATAAAAAATCATTAATTCTTAATTTTTTCAAATTGACAGATATAAAGTGGATAAAAGAAATTGTTCTAGAGAGCAAATCAAGAATATTTTATAAACTAGGAAATATTAAAAAATTGACAAAAAAATATTAAAAAATCAAAATTCTCTAAACTAGGAATGTTAGAAAATGAATGAGTTAATTGCAAAAAATATCACTATAAACGTCAAAAGATCCTCCATTTTTAGATAGTTATAAGATAAAATAACCTAAAAATAATAAGAGAACAGATTTAGTTGAAATTTTAAATATAGAATTTTTTATTTTGTAAATATTCTTTCAATTAAAATTATAAATTATTATTATATTAATTTAATTAATTACTTTTATTCTTTTAAGAATTGAGGTTATTTAATTATTTTCTTAATTATTCAGTAAAGTCAAAAATTATCAAATTTAATGGCATGAAGAGAGTATTCTATTATAATTAAATGATTCATACTCAATTAGTATTAAAATTGATACAAATTTAATTTTCAATGCCATAAATGAGACTACTGAAGTTATATAATTGGCCAATATTAGTAGCACCAACATGCTATTATTATTAGAGATACTACATTAAATAGAGATACGATAAGAAATTTAAAAAATTATTCTCAATCTTAAAAGAAAATAACTATAATTTGAGACGAGTAAAAAAATGAGTTTATATTTATATAGCAGAGAAAATACATTTAATATCGCATAAAATAAATATGTCACGTTACGTAAGATCTCTGTGTAATTATAATATTTATCTATATATATTTATTGGTACACGTGCCAACTTTCTCGTTGTTCAAAAATGACTTTTGAATTAATTTAATAGTGAAATACATAAATCTAGAAATATTATTGTACTCCAAACTTTACAATGATCTATTATAATTTTTTTTTTATTTTTATATGTAAATTATTAACTAGAATTTTTTATAATTTAACTATTTAATAAGTATTTAATTAATCAAATTTTATTTATTAAAAAAAAGAGTTAAACATAAATGTAATAGGCAATTTCCTTTTTCTATGTTTAGTAATGCAGTATAGCGTTGGAATTTTGATTACATACTCTAATTTGGTTATAAGAATAGAGACAAATACAATTATTTAAATATAATTATTATTTATTTATCTCTTTACGTTCCCTAATTTAAAAAAAAAAAACAAGATTGATATGGTCACTCTATGAATAATAATAATAATAATAATAATAATAATAATAATAATAATAATGATTATTATTATTATTTAGATTGCTTTACGTGGACATTTCTCATACTAAAGTAAATCTTATTATACACTTAAAACCTCGTTTGAAGTAAACCGTTCTCTTCATCGTCTTGAGCTTTTCAAATAATATTAAATTATGAAAAAAAATACCATGTGTCGCTATATATATAAAATAAGCTACATTTTAAGTGCATTTTTCTCCTTACATATCTTGTGTTATATGTGTTTTATTACTCTTAGTTGAAATTATAATTTTTTTACTCACTTAAAAAAAATTTAATGACAATTAACATAGATTTTTTCATTAGAAAATAATAAAGGAGATAAATACCAATAAAAAGTAAAGACTTTTGTTAAATGATATAATTAATTATTAATGAGTGTTGAATATACATTTAGGCTCTGTTTGTTTCTGTAAAATAACTTGCAAAAAAATATTTTTCATAATTTTTCATTATTTAGGCTTTCAGAAAAATAAGTCAATGAAAATATTTTTCTGGTCAAAAAAAAAATTAAAGAATTTTTAAGGAAAATGACTTCATATTTTCAATAGAGTAAACCGAATATTGATAAATTTATTATAATCTTATAAATTCATATTTTTTTATTAGTAAACTGCTATTGCTATCATTCACCACTAGCCACCACCACCAGTTATCGATAATTTTCATAATTGACATTTTTTTTTTTGCATTTTTCTCGCATTTAATAATAAAATTTTAAGATACAAAATTTTTATTATCATTAATTATGCTGTTATGAGTTAAAAATTTTAATATTTTTAACGAATTTTTAATATTGCAACTAAATAATAAAAAATAAGTCATTTAAAAAATATTTCTCATGACCTATTCAATATTTTGGTGAATTATCACATGACATCAGCCAAAAGAAAAAGTCAAACTATAATCTTAAAGTAAAGAATCTTGATTTGAAAAAATATCTATTTTAAGAAGGATAAGATTACGGATATCCATTCATACATTAAATCAATAATTAATTATTATTTAAAAAGATATTTTTTATGAGAAATTAACATAAATACCTTATTTGACCTAAAAATTTTATTTGATTGATTTGATATATAAGTAAGCCATATACCATGTTAAACTATATTTACACTCAGTCTTCTGTATGTCAAACCAATAACTAAATGCCACCTCAAAAGAATTGCCACGATTTGATATTCTTTTATTTTTATTCCAATGAATTGACATAAATAGTCTTATTTGAACTAAAAAATTTATTTAATTGGTTTGACACACGAGATGAGATGAGAGCAGGTAAATTAATCACTTTTAGGAAAAAGCTAGAGTAAAAGGAAATGAAGCTCTAGGTGGTTTTAATTCAATAAAAAAAATCAAAAAAACTAATTTTTCTTAAAAAACAAGCTGTTAGTGGAATACTTTATTTAACTTAATGGTGTAAAAATTCTTCAAAAATTATATTTAAATACAATTTTTTAGCATAAAAATGAGATAATTACTATTATTTTTATAATAAGTTGCCAATGACATCGTGACATCCAAAACTATTTGGAGGATTATCAGGAATAAAAATATGATAAGCTATAATTTTTTTTTAATAAATCTAATGAAAGGAAAAATTTTAACATATATATCATGGCATTTTACTTAAAGTACATCAATCAAAACATTCTTAATTAAGAAATTTTACAAAAAACTGTGTTTATTAAACTGAAAGTAGAATATTAAAAGCAACATCTTAATTAAATTACCAAATATAAATGACTGTAATTACTGATGAGAATGATTTGTAGTTACGTGGCATCACATATTTGGTGTACAACTCCATTATAAAATGCGGATCCACTTTCCTTCAAGGTCAAATTCGTCATTATAGAGATTATTATACTTTTATTTTTTAATTTAAAATAATCAAATAACTAATCGTTGTATTGGAACAAATTGTATTCAAATAATGAGGTCTGGAATTATAAACTTGAAACCATAGGCCTCACTGCATGGGATAAGTTCTTTTAATAATTTTAAATTTAAAATCTAAACCTTATATGAAATATTTTTTCTTGCATAGCCAAATTTATTTGTCGTCACTGTCCAAATTTTTTTCATTTCATTTCTTTTTCAAAAATCTGCCATGGAAACGCCTTGAAGCCTCTTGCTCCCGCCCGCTCCTTCTCCCTGTCTGTGCAAAAACCATAGCAAAACCATTTTCATGCTAACATTACTTCTTTAATTTTTCTATATAGACAAAGATTAAGGAAAATGGGATCTGTTGTCCCATTTCAAGACCTCAATCTCTCTCCATCTCCATCGTCATCTCCGCCGTCGACCAACGCTGCTGCTGCTGCCGTCCTTCCTCCACCGCCTGCTCTTTTAATCCCGAAAATTGAACCGAAACTTGAGCCGCTTGATAGTCTTGTTGAAACGCCTCAGGAACCTCAAGATCCATTATTTCCCGATTTTACCCCTAACTTTTTCTCTAATTCCGAACATACCCCTCCTTCTCAATCCTCTGTTCTCTCTTCCTCTGATGAAGACAATGTCTACTCCGAATACCACAGAATCTCGGAGCTTTTCCGTACTGCGTTTGCAAAACGCTTACAAGAGCAATACGGTGACGTTTCCGTGTTAGACCCAGATTCTCGCGCGATCGTTCCTGTAAATGAAGACACTACCGTCTCTTCCGTTGTCGTCGCTAAGCCTCATCGCAAATACGCTAAGCGCTCATCGGAGCTCGTCCGTGTCACTGACCTCGGAATCGAGGACCAACGATATTTCCGCGACGTCGTGCGCAGGACACGTATGCTGTACGACGCACTTCGTATCATTTCTGTTTTAGAGGAAGAGAAACGACGTGGTGAGGCCCTCGGCCGCCGTGCCCGAGGCGATCTCCTTGCTGCTGCCGTTATGCGTGAACGTGGGCTGTGGCTTAATCGTGACAAGAGAATTGTGGGGTCCATTCCTGGAGTTGAAGTTGGGGATCTTTTCTTTTTCAGAATGGAATTGTGTGTTGTTGGGCTTCACGGACAAGTTCAAGCAGGAATTGATTACCTTCCAGCAAGTCAAAGCTCGAATAGGGAGCCCATTGCTACGAGTATTATTGTTTCGGGTGGTTATGAAGATGATGAGGATTCTGGTGAAATGTTGATATATACAGGACATGGTGGTCAGGATAAGTTCTCGAAGCAATGCTCGCACCAGAAGCTTGAAGGAGGGAATTTGGCGTTGGAGAGGAGTATGCATTATGGGATTGAGGTAAGAGTGATTAGAGGGTTTAAATATACAGGAAGTTTTACAAATAAGATTTATGTTTATGATGGGTTGTATAAGATTCATGATTGTTGGTTTGATGTGGGGAAATCTGGATTTGGCGTTTATAAGTACAAGCTATTGAGGATGGATGGGCAACCAGAAATGGGTAGTTCTATTTTGAGGTTTGCACAGAGTTTGAAAGCTAATCCATTGAGTGTAAGGCCTAGGGGATATCTTAGTCTTGATATTTCGAATAAGAAGGAGAATATGCCAGTTATGTTGTTTAATGATATTGATAACGACCATGATCCTCTGTGTTATGAGTATTTGGTGAGGACTGTGTTTCCCGCCTTTGCGATTAATCATGGAAGTAACGGGACAGGGTGTGATTGTGTTTCAGGTTGTACTGACGGTTGTTTTTGTTCGATGAAGAATGGTGGGGAGTTTGCTTATGATCAGAATGGGTTCTTGTTGAGAGGAAAGCCGGTGGTATTTGAATGTGGATCTTTTTGTAGGTGCCCTCCGGGCTGCAGGAACCGGGTAACTCAACGGGGGCTGAGAAATAGATTGGAAGTGTTTAGGTCAAGGGAAACAGGTTGGGGAGTTAGGTCAATGGAATTGATACATGCCGGTGCATTTATATGTGAATATGCTGGGGTTGTTCTTACAAGAGAGCAAGCACAAGTTTTCACAATGAATGGTGATAGTTTAATTTATCCAAATCGGTTTTCCCAGAAATGGGCAGAATGGGGTGATTTATCTCAGATATATTCTGATTATGTGCGTCCATCTTATCCCTCACTTCCACCATTGGATTTTGCGATGGATGTCTCAAGAATGCGGAATGTTGCTTGTTATATGAGCCACAGTTCAACTCCAAATGTGCTGGTGCAATTTGTTCTGTATGATCATAACAATTTGATGTTCCCACATCTCATGCTTTTTGCAATGGAGAACATTCCTCCATTGAGGGAGCTCAGCCTTGATTATGGTGTGGCTGATGAATGGACGGGGAAGCTTTCCATTTGCAACTGAATGGGCTTGAAGAGTTGTTGGAATTTTTGTATGTAGTGTAGTAGAACATCCCGAAGACATGATGCTATAAGGTACAAGTAACTGCTGTTTTTTTTTTTTTTTTTTTTTTTTTTTTTTCGTATCTAGTTAAACACGGGATTAAAATGCATTGATGCTTGCCATATCTAATTCTAGGTGCAGTCGATTTGTCAACCAATAAACCCATATTTTAGGATGGGTCAGAGTTAATCCGTTTTGCTTTAAGCAACTTCACAGACACACCTCAACAGAGAGGCACAATATTTTAGGGATTAATCCATTCCATGGGGACAAGAGGGGTTAATGTGGTCCTGTACCCATCAAAATTGATTTCTTTCAAATATGTGCCACTGTTCATATGATCACTGGTGTCTTAGAGCTGGATTTTTTTTTTTTTTTTTTTTTTTTTTTTTCCTTTCCGTATCTAGTTAAACACGGATTAAATTGCATTGATGCTTGCCTTCTAATTCTAGTGCAGTCTGATTTGTCAACAATACCTATTTTTAGGATGGTCAGAGTTAATGTTGCTTAAGCAACTTCACAGAACACTCAACAGAGAAGGCACATATTTTAGGGATTGAATACCATTCCATGGGACAAAGGGGTTAATGTGCCTTGTACCCATCAAATTGCATTTCTTTCAAATATGTGCACTGTTCATATGATCACTGGTGTCTTAGAGCTGGAAGGAGTTAAAATTATTTTCTATGATTCCTCTCTTTCATTTATTAAGTTTTCTAGAATTTTATTAGTATCTCTTTCTTTGCTGTATTGTTTACTGTAACAACATAATTAAAGATGTTGATCTCATTCATTTTGGAATATCTTCTCCCTATTTTGGCATATTGCAATATGGAGACTTATATTTGGAGCTGGATGTTTTTACCTTCTTTGGTTTTATGTAGAACTTAGTTAATGAGCAGGGAACCTCTCATTTGTATGAATGGTTTCATCTATCTTTTGTTCTTCTCATTGAGAAGTCCTTTGCTTGATTGTTAATCTGCAGAATATAATTTTTTTTTTAAGCAATTATCACTAGTCTAGCACTTTAGTACCAGTTCTCTTATGTTTAGCAGCTGTGGCTTTAGAAACTTGGACTGACTCTTGGATCATTCTGTATTCTTCTATCATGTAATGAGATCAAACAATCTGTGAATTTTAAGTAGACTAATGGTATGGTTGACTACTTGCCATTCACAAAGATTAATGCTAACTGGACTTACTTTATTGGCAACTCTTGATTGCAATCAATTTGGAGTTGGAAAGTTTTGTTGTGCAAAAAGAAAAAAGTCGATGCTGTGCTATCTTATTAATTATTATGTTCCTTTTTCAGACTTAATCACTGTCTTGTTAAATATTTGATTTACAGTTGTGCAGTTGATGCAATCCCCTGTAGTTTTAGATATCTGTTAATTGATGTGCTCATTCAAGTACTTCAATCTCTCTTTCTGATATTGATAATTTAGATGCAATCTACACCATTGTGTGGCTAACTAGAAAGAGTAAGAAAATTGATAGAAAGAGGGGGAAGTAGTGCAATTTTGATAGAGCAAAAAAGCAGTTCTATTGAATACCCATAATTGGGTACTGTTTATTATCAGTTAGGCTATGGTTAGACTCACATGATCTAAGCAAGATACTTGTTTATGTAGTAACTTATTGACTCAGTCACAGTCTTTCCTGTCAATTAATTTTATTCCTTATTTACTATTTTGCCCCACCAAACCTTTTAGATTTATAAATTGAGTGCTGATAAATTTAGTAGAATCTGATTAGTTATTGAAGTCTTGCAGATTTTATTCTATTTCTTATTTCCATGGCAACTATTATTTATTCTGATGTTAGTTATCTTTTGCAGGTGGAAATCTTAGTTATCTTTTGCTGGTTGAGAATCTGTCACAATGGTTTTGCCATGATTTTCTGACCAGTGTCCTGAGTGTTTTCCGTTGGTAACTATAAATAGCCTTCACCCGTTGTATACACTGCCATGGTTTATCTTTCTATTTTCTTTCGTTAATCCTAAAGTGCTTAAGGCTCAGATTTTCAGAATTTTTTTTTCCTGGTTGGTGTTGGGTGGAGGAGACAACTGAAACTCAAAATTTTCTGCGGTTAGTCATATGGACGCTGCTACTGTGATATCACTAACACTTCAGATCTTTCATTCCATTCCTTTAGATCCATAGATCCAGGTTTCATGCCCACTAATCGAATGGGAATAGTTAACGTAAGGCCTCAAAAGCTTGTGTATGCATGACTATGAACTTTTCTGTACTTAGTAGCTTTGTGTATATAAAAATATATATATAAAAATCAAATTCGATAAGCTTGTACAAGAATTTTGAGTGATGCAATGTACGGCTAATGCGGTTATTGTTACAATTTCTGAATTCTTGCTGAATAGTTTTGTATTCGAGAGTGGAGGTGCGAGCAAAAATGGGTTGATCATCAAGTATGATGTGGTGCTATGTGTATCTGCGATGCACTTCTTGCTTTTGTCATTGTCAGGTGAAATAGGAGGAATTTTTTTACTGTCTTCATCTTCCAAGTAAAAGTATTATATGCAATTTATATCATTCATTTATGTAAGCTGTCTTTTGCACTAACAGTAAATGAGGCATCACTCAGATGCAAGGAGGTTATTTTTTCCTTGGCAACGACACAAGTGATATTTTCTGCGAAAGCTTAAAAATAATAGAGTTAATGATCGCAGATCTATGTCGTTTATTCTTTTCAAACATGTCTCCTAACTAAAAGCTAAAAAGAAGCTAGCAAGGTGATCAAAGTCTTGCCATAGGCTCATAACTTCATAAGAAAATCATAAATCAAAGAAGGATAAATATTCAGGGGTCGAACTAACCAGGTTTTACTCAATTAGTAAAGGACAAAAATGTAAATTGGTATGTAAATTATAGTTAGAGTAACGCATGACAATTTATGCGTTCAAAAATTAACTATGAAGTCCCAATTTATAATTTCATTTACATTTTGGTCTTTCTGTTGATTAGGGATTAAGAACCTCATAATTAATACATGCGTTATTTGATCATAATCTAGGGATCAATTTACTAAATTTTGTAAGTTTATAAAAAATTAAAAATAAGTGGAGCCTATTGAATTTAATTTTCTATTGAGTAGAACCAGGTTACACTCCAACCATGTATTTCCCATTAAAACAATGCAATTAATCAGCCTTTTAGCTAAACCATCAACAAGAAAGGTAATCAAATTAATTGCAAGGAGGCAAACTTTTGTTAATGTTGATTATGAATCTTCAATATAATTCTCTCTCCCCTTTTTTCTTTTTGAAGGTAAAGTTTTCAAAACCACAACACAAGCAAGATTAAAAAAAAAAAAAAAAAGTTTTATCAGATAAATCAAAAAAGAATTGAATACTCAATTGAGTCATTGAAATTTTTTTTTTCTTACTACTAAAGGTATCCTCTCATATTCTCATTTTCTGGTTGGATGAGAGACTAATCTCTTTCGGATCAGAAAACAATTATACTAAAGTCTGTCCAAAATATTGATCTCGCGTTGTGTGAAAGCTTTTACAAATTTCAGTGAGGTTTTTGCTTTAATTGTGCTTCAACCACTAGCCAAACTATTTTGAGTTAGTCAAATGAGATTTTTGCTTTAATAATAAATGAAGACCAGAGTGATAAAGTGGTCTGAAAGCTTTTACACAATTCAGATCATCAAATAAAAGCCTTAAAAAAACCATAACATAAATTTAAGCCTTCAAGCCATTCTATCTCCATATCCAACCCAACCAAAATGATGATATCCTTGCTAACCAAAGCTCTCTCCAAACATTTTCTCCTACTATTTCTCATTGGTATCTGCATTCTGTTGGTTTCATCCTGCCATAATGTTTGTGCTTCAGCAACAAATGAAGGGAGAGAAACTCAGGCACTCTTAAAATGGAAAGAAAGCCTTCAAAATTCAGGCCATTCTCTCCTTTCTTCATGGAATCTTAATCCTCCTTATTACACTTCATTAAATTCTTCATTTAACTATCAAAACAGCAGCAGCAACCCCTGCAGATGGCATGGAATTACCTGTGATAAGTCAAATTCTGTTACCCAAATAAACCTTAAGCGCAGAGGTTTCCAAGGTACTCTTGAAACATTCTGTTTCTCTTGCTTCCCTAACCTGCAAACCGTTGAACTTAGTCACAACTATTTCTATGGAAGCATACCATCCCAAATCAGCAACCTTTCCAAACTACAATTCCTTTATTTGAGTAACAATCATCTCTCTGGAGCTATACCATCTGAGATAGATTTGCTGACAAGTCTTCGCCAATTATTCCTACATCAAAACAACTTTAGTGGGTCTATCCCTCCAACAATAGGGCAGTTAAGATCTCTAGAGAAACTTGTATTGTCAAGTAACAATGTCACAGGTCACATTCCTGCCTCTCTAGGAAATTTAGGCAGACTCCGCCATTTAAGCCTTGAAGAAAACCTACTTTCTGGAGCCATCCCCCAGGATGTAGGAAGACTCACCTCTCTGATTGTGCTTAATCTTTATGATAACAATCTCATCAGTTCAATCCCTGCTGCTTTAGGAAACCTAAGCAAGTTGGACGTTTTAGACCTTGGTTTCAACAAACTCTCAGGTTGCATCCCTCAACAAATCCTACTGTTAAAATCTGTTACTGAAATTCGGTTGCCTAACAACAGACTCACTGGGTCTATTCCTGCTATCATAGGAAAATTAAGCAATTTAAGATTACTATATCTCTACGGAAATAAGCTTTCTGGATATGTACCCAGGGAAATAGGAAATCTGATCTCTCTGGAGGAACTTGAGGTGTCATTAAACATGTTGATAGGTTCCATTCCAGCTTCCATTGGAAATTTGAGCAACTTAAAGATTCTACATCTTTATTGTAACAGATTTTCTGGATTGATTCCTTATAGTATAGGAAATATGGGATCTCTTAACGTTCTTAATCTGGATATCAATGATCTTACAGGTCCTATTCCGGCATCTATAGCGAACTTGACAAAGCTCACTACTTTGGGATTGTCGGAAAATAAACTAATAGGCACCGTCCCTCCAGAAATTAATAACTTTACGTCTTTAAAAGCATTTGAAGTTGGTGAGAATTTTCTCTCTGGTTATTTGCCCCAAGACTTATGCCAAGGCGGAGTGCTCGAATGGCTTTATGCTGCTAGCAGTAATTTCACTGGTCCAATACCAAAAAGCTTGAAAAATTGCACTAGTTTAATCAGAGTTCAGCTTCAGATGAATCAACTAACAGGAAATGTATCCAAAAGCTTTGGCATATACCCTAACTTGGAATATATAGATCTGAGCTACAACAAGTTGTACGGTGAGCTTTCTCAGAATTGGGGACACTGTCAAAATCTAACAAGCCTGAAAGTCACCAGCAACCAAATTTCGGGAAGAATTCCACCTGCGCTTGGGAAAGCAACTCAATTGCATGTGCTTGAACTCTCCTCGAACCAGCTAGCGGGAGAGATACCAAGTGAATTGGGAGCACTAACATCACTTTTCAGGCTTGAACTGAATGGTAATAAATTTTCAGGTAACATTCCTGAGGAACTTGAAAAGCTACTTGATCTTAGAGAGCTTAATCTAGCAGCAAACAATCTTAGTGGACAGATTCCCAATCAAATAAAACTCTGCTCAAAACTTTATTATTTGAATATAAGTTGGAATAAGTTGAATGGAATCATTCCCTCTGAGATTCGCAGTATATACTCGCTTCGAATTGTTGATCTGAGTCACAATTTGCTTGAAGGAGGGTTGCCATTGGAGCTTGGATATTTACGCAATTTAGAAGTTCTGAACCTTTCTCATAATCAACTATCTGGCTCCATCCCATCTACTTTTGAGCTGATGCTGAGCTTGACATCAGTGGATATATCCAATAACCTCCTGGAGGGACCTTTACCGGACAACAAAGCATTTTACAATGCTCCAACAGCAGCACTTGCGAATAAGAGAGGTTTATGCGGAAAACATACTGGAATGGAGGGTTGCCTTTCTGCCACAAATAACAGAGAACAAGGCAATAAAATGTTCATTTTAATAATCAGTTTTGCCTCATTAAGCTTTGTATTTGTCATCTCAGGGATATTTGCCGTTCTATGCAAAAAAGTGAGGAAACCGGATGAGCCAATGGAAGTTCAAGGCACAAATGTGTTTGCAATATGGAACTATGATGGGAAATTGGTGTATGAGAACATTGTCGAAGCCACAAACGGATTCAAATCCAGATATTGCATCGGAGCAGGGAGATCTGGAAGTGTTTATAAAGCTGAGCTGCCAAGCAATCAAATTGTTGCTGTCAAGAAACTTCACCAACAAAGTGATGGTGGAACAGATGAAGAAAAAGATTCGAAAGTGAGATCGCTGCCTTGACAAGGATACGGCACAGGAACATTGTGAAGCTTTATGGGTTTTGTTCCCACAGGACGCACTCCTTTTTGGTGTACGAATTCTTAGAAGGAGGAAGCCTAATAAAGGTCCTAAGCAGTGAGATAACAGCAGTGGAGTTCAATTGGAGTAAAAGGGTGAATGCCATAAAAGGGTTGGCAAAAGCTTTATCCTATATGCATCATGGATGCTTTCCTCCTCTGATACATAGAGATATATCGAGCAATAATATTTTGTTCGATTCAGATTACGAAGCTCACATCTCTGACTTTGGAGCAGCAAGGTTTTTAAAGCCTGACTCTTCCAACTGCACTTCATTTGTGGGAACCTTTGGCTATGTAGCTCCAGGTACAAGGTTTCCATTCAATAACCAATTATTTCGAGCTTTTTTTTCCTAGGTAAAATACAAGCACACTTACCTTTAATTTCAATTGTACTATAGAACTTGCATATACAATGGAAGCAAATGAGAAGAGTGATGTTTATAGCTTTGGAGTGGTAGCACTGGAAATGCTCATAGGAAAGCACCCAGGAGATCTTATTTCATCTCTTTCCACATCAAATCTAATTCTACTCAAGAATTTGTTGGATCATCGCCTCCCTCCTCCAAGAAATCAAGTAGCGGAAGAAGTGATCTCCATTGCCAAGCTAGCATTTTGCTGCCTAAATAATAGTCCACAAAATCGAGTAACGATGGAACAAGTTTCCCAGAAACTTTTTCTTCAGAGAAAAATCAAAGCTATGTCAAAACCATTCCAGATGATAACATTGGCAGATCTTTTCTGAGTTCACTACGCAGTTTCGCTATTTCTTCCTTTATTAATACCATAAAATGAATCAATTAAATATTTGCCTGTTCATTTTGTGAGATTTCTCATCTTGCAATTGCACGAAAGATTTCTTTCTAGCAGACAACTAATAACATAAATGAAGGAGAGAATAGTTTCATTGTCTGTTTTGAGAGAACTTAGAAGTGAGGAGAAACTGAAGAGAAATGAGTTGAAAAATATGCACAAGAGACGAAACAGAGACTCTGTCAAATGATAGAGAAGTGAATGTTGACCATGCCAACGTTTACTCTGTTGTAGGAAAAGAAAACTTTTAATTATAGGCTTCAGATGTTATCTCTTTGTTTTGTATAAAACCATAATTGCAATATACACACGTATACATTTTTTGATAATGTAGTAAAAGGTTACATGTTCAAATAGCCATGGAAACTCGTGGAAGGTCATCAAACTTGAGAGGTTGCTGTTCCATTTTTCTCCAGTTGTCGTAATCTGGCTCGTTCAATCTTTCTTTTACGCCATTCCTCTAGAGCTGGAGAATTTTATAAATGTTAGTAACAGTGCAATGATTATAATTAAAAAACTCCTCCAGAAAATATGGCAGTCTCGAAGGGAGAAAACTCCCTTGTTTATATCACAAATCAGAAACATGAGAAGCCATATATCTCCAGGTATGCAAACTTCGAGATACCAATTGGCTTACAATTACAGCAGTGCAACTAATTAGTGCTTGCTTGAACCCATTGTGAAGCAAGATGATCTCTATTTAATATAGCAATTCCCCAGGGCAAACACTTCTTACTGTTACAACTATGAACAATTTGTTAGGATTAATTCAAAATAATATTATGAAAAATCTGTTGAGATTTCAATTTTATTTAGTGCAGATATTCTGCATAGAATTTGATATTTCTGTTATTAGGACACTAAATCTAGGCTTGGCTTTGAACCCATGGTGAAGCAAGATGATCTCTATTTAAATATAGCAATTCCCCAGGGGCAAACACTTCTTCTAACTGTTACAACTAATGAAAAACAATTTGGTTAGGATTAATTCAAAATAATATTATTGAAAAATCGTGTTGAGATTTCAATTTTATTTAGTGGCAGATATTCTGCATAGAATGTTGGATATTTCTGTTATTATATTTCTGTTATTAGGATTGAAGATTTTTAGGAGTATTTTAGATATTCTTTGATTCACTTCTAAGCCTATAAATAGGCACATTCTTTTGTTAATTCAATGCAGTGCAAAACATGAAGTGCTAAACATTGTTAATCATCTTGTGCGTTTCCATTCTTTCTTCCAAAATCACAACAATATGTGTTGTTAATACATGTGCAAATCAAAATATATATATATATATATCTACTACCTTATATAGTGAATGTATTGTTAATATTAGCCTTAGAGATGTTTCTTTCTATCAGCCTAGAAAGGAAGAGTTATGCATTGGTTGGTCACTTCCTCCCTTTTACATTGAATTAAACTTAATATTGAGTTCAAAGAGGTGGTTGGCTTCCCCTGTTTCGAAATTTAAATAAGCAAATGACCCTTCATAATAACTCATAAACATAAATTTTAAAATAAAAAAAAATTAATTTTCTATTTCAAGATTATTAGATAAATCCTCATATATCAATATAATCATTAAAAATCATGGCATTTATTCTGGTTCATTTAGAAATAGATTAGCAATTTCAAGAATTTTAAATATCCTTAAAAGAGTCAAATTCATCGATTGAAACGTTCTATATTTAGTTTGTCCAACATTACATTGTAGACTTTTTTTATAACAGTTGAAGATTGCTATGACAATATCCTTTGGAATTTTTAAATTTCAAATCAACATTGTGAAGTAGCAATTGAATTTAAAAATAATAATTATATAATAAAATTATTATTTCTAAATAATAATTATCTAACTTATATTTAAGATCATAATTTAAATTTTTTTATTAATAAATTTATCTAAAACTTCTATACGATTTTACAGTATTCTACAGTTGTCTTGCAATTTTCAAAAAGTGTTAAGTGTCTATTCCAAAACCCACTGATCCGACTATTTCAGATTCGAGTGGGACAGGCTCGTAAAGAGGTAGCACTCACGAGTGTTTAAAGGGATTATATACCAAAACTCAAACTCGATATAAAATAGGCACATTCTTTTGTTAATTCAATGCAGTGCAAAAATGAAGTGCTAAACATTGTTAATCATCTTGTGCATTTCCATTCTTCCTTCCAAAATTTCAACACAATTTACAGTACTAGGCTATCAGATTTTTTTTTCCCCCCTTTCTAAAGATATATATTTTTAAAAAAATTTATAGTGACAATGCAAACATTACAGTATCATAGAACCTTCTGAATAAGCTAAAGCCATATAGGAATTATGGATCACACAGGAAGATATGCACCCAAGAGCACACATATGCACACACAAAAACACAGTGCGAGAGAGAACCTAGAGGCACATCACCTTTTAAGCTGGCAGCATCATTAATAGCACGGAAATCCTTTAATCTCTTAGAAAGATCAACAGCAGCAGTTTGCTTCACATCTTTCTGTTGGATTATTTCTACTTCTGCATTTGCTTCTTGCTCAATTTCCTTCACCTGCAAATGCAGATAGATTTTTCTTCTTCTAAGAATTGATTCAAAACCATGAGTTGGAACACTATTTCATCAATATTTTTGCTCATTTTGAGAAGGATAAATGTCATATGTGAAGGAGGGAAGGAGAGGGGCAGGAAGCGGGGTGGTAGAGATGAGTACAACCATGATGCAATATGCATTTCAAACTACATCTTCATAATTCAATAACATGACATAGTAATAAAACAAAATGAAGGACTTCATCCCAAAAAGTTTTTCATGTGGCATCCATGGAAATCTATAATATATATTTTACAAAAATATTACAATTTTAAAATGACTGCCATACTCGTTTGATCAGTTTCCAAGGTTGCATCGCAAGACGTATCTCTTCAGACTCCTTGATGTGCCTCTGCTCAACTGCATTTCATTTATTGAATATTAGAATATGGTTAATCACATGTCGCTTGCTCATTGAGTGACATTGAAACATAACAAACAAAGAAATAAACTGTACTAAAAACTAAGAAATATATTCAATGAGCTCAGAGAACATTGTAAGCAACAGCAATGATATCCAGTGCCACCTAACATTCATGCTTCTACCTATGTTCAAGAACTACAGCTTCAAAAGAAAATTTTCAAATTCAAATTTATGCCCCAAAATGCACATTGACCATTTCATATATAGCACACTTAAAAGTTCATTCTCAAGCATGCAATTCTACCACCCAGTAGTCAACAATTACTAATAGTATGCTGCCCATTCTTTGTTCAGATCATGAGTTTGTGACCCAGACTCCCATCACCATCACGACATTACTTAAATGAAGGATCAAGAAGTAAGAAAGTAGGCAATAGTTGAACTAATTTTGGAGGAACTCTGTTAGCAATAAGAAGCCAATTTAATAGAGGAGAGAATATCCTGCAAAGAATTGCCACAATTACACTGGTGGCAATCTGTAACATATTCTGAATTTCAACTTAAATTGTTAAAATTATAATCTATCATATTTTTTATTTTGTAATGGAGAAAATCATAGATGAATCCAGTTCGGCATATGGGCTAGTTAATAGTAATTAACGAAATATAGCTATAACTACCAGATAAGAAGTATTTCATAACTTATAGTTTAAGATTTTAAGATATCTAAATATCATAATTTGTTAATGGATGTGGTGGCTCACTAATGGCTAGTCCATAAGCCTAAGTGGTGGACTAAATCCTTGGTCATGAAAGACAAACCATAGAAAAGAATATAAATGCTTAAAGCTGAACAAAGAGAATTGGCGAAGGCAATTAGATGAATGAATAGCATGTACCGCAAATTTACTCTCAAATGAAATCCATAAATCACTAGCAATTTACAGTTCTGAAAAATTCTGCTCATACACCAAATTATTGGGCCACTATCTTAATTTTTTTTTACTAACCACCCAAACAATTAATAAAATTACATCGTGTGGCATCCTTTAGGGGTTAGTGCTCACTGATAATAAAAATTCTGGGCTTGCAACCACACAGGTGTAGACCTAAGTCATTGGAATAATCACTTCATTGATGGTTGGGTCTGTAATTAAAAACTCCCTGTAACGAATTGTTGTTGCAATAAGATAGAATGGTAAGATGAATTCAGATATTCAAATCTAGTACATATGTAGGGATAAAAGCATTTAGGAAAAAGAAATTGTTGAGATACAATAACTATGATCCTTAAAGATTAAAGAACAAAGAGAATTACAGAATAAAAAGAAGATAATGATTATTAAGCTTGACGAACATCATCTTCATGATAGCAATCATATCTAATTTTGCAGTGATAAAACACCAAATGAATTTCATGCCTAAAAATGAGTGTTATATGGTATAATACACCCTTGCTAATCGAAATCCAACAAAGAAGGGGAAAGAAAATAATTATAGGAGATAAGAAATCCAAACAGAGTATCCAGACTTCATAATTTAAGGCACAAGTGTGAATTTTAGTAAAATTTACAAATACAGCTCTTACCCAGAAAAAACAGGAGACTGAAATACATTATAAAATCTTTCAATTGCGAATGCGAATTCATAAAAAAGGCAGTCTGAGGAAATCCCAAATTAATGTATCTTAAAACAAAGCGCACAAACCAATCCACTAATTTCCTTAATTAAGTTAGAAAACTATGAAAACAAACGTAAACAAGAGTTAGAATTCAAAAAAAAATAAAACTTTAATTCAAAATATATTTCGTAATGAAGTTACCTAGAAAATCAGAGAACAGATAAAGTTTAAAGTTACACCCAAACAAAGTACTTTCTATTTCATTTGAGCAAATATCCATTGTCTAAATATCTCCAATGGCAAGCAGCAATACATTCATATTTGCTTATTTCCCTATATTTGATCACAAAAGTAGTGTTTGTCAAATAGAAGGGGTGAGAGAGAAATGCCTGAATTGAATTGACTAGCTGAGACTCCATTGTTGCGGGTAGAGGCAGAGGAAAGAAAACCTTGGAGCAAGAAAAGGGCAGTGATTACATTCAAGACGGTTAAGACTATCGTGGCGTTCTTGAAAGACAATCTCACCCTCCCTGATTGCTGTATCTCCATTTCCTTCTTCTTCTCCTGCAAGTACCAATTTGGATTCCACGATTCAGAAGCTCAATCGATGAACTTAAAAGTGTGTCTTCATTTTCTTGGTAGAGGACCAAGAACCCAAGTCAACTACCAGATGCCCCACTTTGGACTCCACAGCTAATAAATTCTATCAAAGATTGACATTATCTGCAGGCCGCGACTGTTGTTTGTGCTGCTTTCTGTACCTTTTACCTGAAACAACAAAGTATCTTTCAATTTTATCTATAAAAAGGAAATGGAATAATTAAGACATCTTATATTTAATAAGTCTATTTATTTACTGTATATTTTTTTTTTTTTTACAAAAAATTTAATGAACTATACATAGTTTGCCCTGAAAATAATGAAATGCAATTATTAGAATATAATTTTTATATTTTAATTTAGTTCAAAAAACTAAATATTTTATATTGAAATAATTTTAATTTAAACAAAAACCTCGTTGCTGGGTAGCAAGAGAAAATGGGCATATGCTCCCGCCAAGTTATGATTAGCATTGCAAGACGGTTTATTAAGTACTGTTTATCGTTTGGCTGTTCTCTTGTTGAAAGACAGAAAATCTCTCACCCTCCCTGATTGCTTCGTATCTCCATTTTTCTTCTTCTTCCTCTGCACCGAGTACCCAATTTGGATCTCCCGAACGATCAGAAGCTCCAATCGATTGATGACTACTTAAAAGGATCGTGTCTTTTTCAATTTTTCTTGGTAGTAGACCAAATAACCCCAAGTCAACTACCAGATTGCCCCCCTGGCCCTACTTTTGGACTCCCACAAGCTAAATAAAAATTCTAGTCCATGAAGATTGTAACAATTACCTGCAGTGACTCGCCTGGCCGCAAGTCAAGCGGACTAGCACTCGACGCGTGTTTGTTGCTGCTTTTTTTTTCTGTAACCTTTTACGCATGAATACAACCAACAGTATCTTTCAATTTTTCATCTATAGAAAAGGAAATTGGGTGAATAATTTACCAGGACCATTCTTATATTTACACTAAGTCTATTATTTTACCTGTATATTTTTCTTTTGTCCTTTTACAAAAGGAAATCTTAATCGGAAACCGTATACCATAGCTTTTGCGCCTGAAAATACATGAAAAGTGCAATTATAGGAATTTTAGTGAATTTTTATATTATTTTAATGTAATTAGTTTTTCAAAAAAAAACTAAATAGATTTGTATATTGGAAAATAATTTTCAATTTAACAACATATATATATTAGTATCAGTAGTTACGAGCAATCTATAATAGTAGAATTTATAAAATATAGTATATATGATTTTCCAACCACTTATAGAGACTCCAGTGGGAAAAACTTTAGCACAGGTTTAAATATTTGCAAGTATAGAGGAAATTATAGAATATATATGATTTTCAAGATATAGAGATCCAGTGGGAAAATTTAGCACAGGTTTAATATTGCAAGTAGAGGAAATTATAGATGTCGTAAAACGACAGCAATTCTTGCGGGATCCCTTGGGTCGTTTATGTCGTTGAGTGAAAACATTGTCGCCGAAACGACGCCGAAAACAATTATTTTTTGGGCTCTGCCTTGCCTTCGGTCTCATTCTTTCTTTTAAATCTGATAACTTTGATCAGACCATTTCCTGCGACCACGAGCTTTCTAGTTCTCACTGATTGTTCCGGGAGCCAAACAGATTATTGGAAAATTGTGGGTTTAATGGACAAGGTCGTGGAGGAAGTGGAGAAGGTGAAGAAGGAATGGGATGAAGCGTATGCGAAAACGCAAGGCCACATTAAGGCAATTGAAGAGTACGGCAAATCAAGAAGAGGAGGAGGAGGAGAAGGAGAAGTAGATGCAACCAAGGAGAAGAATTCTCTTCCTAGATTGAATGGATTAGCACAAGATGGTTTGGCTTTGCTCCAATCTTTGCAATTTAAGCTTGATCTTCTCGCTCCTCAATTGCCTACTGAAGAGAATGTGAAATCGGCACAAGTCTTGCTTGAATCGTGGAAGAAACAATGCCAAAAGTACCAAATTCTTACCTTAACTTGATAGTATATTTTTTTTCTGATTTTCTGATTTTTTTCCTTAATCTTATATGTTAATTAGTGTGCGGGTGAGCTTGAGAAATGCTAATTTGCAAGCCAAGGCTAACATGAGAAAAGCAGCTCAGGAAGAGGTAAAGGAGCTTGCTTTGCCCATAATTTTTCTTTTTGGAGTTAATTACTGTGTTTGGATTTAATCAGCGTTTTAATTTGTTACTCATTTTTATGTTTTGGTTTGCATGAAAATTATGCTTGCCTAATTAAATGAATTGTTAGAGATTTGAAGTAAAGAATGACTTTGCAATGGGTTTTTTGATTGTAGAGAGAGCTTCTACTGGGTGGTGGAGAAGAGTCCACAATTCGCAGACGCAATTTGCAGTATGTATTACTATCAATGAGATTAACGCTATATTTTATGTAGTATTCAATTTTCTCTTTCTATCACTTGAAAGTTTTTCAAATATATACGCTGTAAGATATTGTCCTACTCTTTATGTTTGTCTGTTATGAATGGTGATGATTTTTTCAGTGTCTTTTAGGACTAAGGCTGGGATGACATCTGCAGCAGAAAGCATCACAGAAAGCCTTCGACGAACTCGTCAGCTAATGGTTCAGGTTAATTGCTTGTTCCCCATAGTGTTCATCATGCATTTATCATTCATGATATTTTGGAACTTTGTTTAAAGCTTATTTGGTTTCTCATTGTATGTCTATTGTCAGGAGGTTGAAAGAAGTGCTAGCACACTCATGACTTTTGGTAGGTGTTTTTCTATTCTTGTGCTAGTAGAGAACTGATCAGTTCATTTTTAACAGTCTAATAGTAATTTTTTCGCTCTCAAATTTAAAATGAACAAAATTTAAGAAGAAGCAACCTCAACTAGACAACTATCAGTGATAGTTCTACCTCCATCTGATCTTGTTGCCTCCTAGATGCAAAAATCATTAGACTGTTTCTCTTCTAGATAGAGCTCATCAGAATCGTAAACTTTAAGTTTCATAAATTCATAGATTTTTTTTTTTTTTTTTTTTTTTTTTGCAATAAATCAGTAGACTGTTTCTCTTCTTAGATAAGCTCATGGCAGAATCGCTAAACGTTTAAGTGACATAGAATTCATTAGATTTTGCTTTTTTTTTTTTTTTTTTTCAGGTTCAAGTATGTGTTGATAACAACATGGAATGGTAACGCCCAATAAAATTGGCATATTATCACCCAACACGTCGGGTCCCTCAACCATCTAGCTTATATCCTGTGCTTTTCTGTTCAGCTGTTCAGAATACACCTAGCAAAGCTGAGACAGATTAAAGCGGATTTAACAGATAATGCTATTATGATAAACAAACACTCTCCATGCCCACTGTATTAGGTTATAAGATGGAAGCTATTCTGAGATCAGTTTTTCATCATCTTTTGATTATCTTTCAATTTTCTACTTCTCAGTTTACATGCATTTTTGTGATGATCAGAAGCAACGAGACTGGTCTGATGATTTGGATTACAGCTCCACAAATAGAGAAGAGTATATCATCCAATAAAATGTCATTGGCTATTGACCTATAGTGTTGTCTTTTTTTTTTTTTTTTTTTTTTTTCAGTTCAATATTGTTGATAACAACATGAATGGTAACCCAATAAAATTGGCATATTTCACAAACACGTGGTCCCTCAACCATCTAGCATTATATCCTTGTTTTCTGTCAGCTGTTCAGATACACCTACAAAAGCTGAACAGATTAAGCGATTAACAGAAATGCTATTATGATAAACAACACTCTCCATACTGGTATTGGTTATAGATGGAAGCTATTTCTGAGATCAGTTTTCATCATTTTTGTTATCCTTTCAATTTTCTACTTCTCAGTTACATGGGCATTTGTGATGATCAAACAAGATACTTCTGATGATTTGGATTAAGCTCCACAAATAAGAGAAGAGTTCATCTAGATGCATGTTAAATGTTCTGTTATTATACAGATATGGTCTCATCTGGCACATTAAACTTGTTACACTACTTTGAAGTTGTCTTTTGCTTCCTTAACAGTATAATATGCTCTGCCTTCTCTTAGTTTGGCAGTTCTAGAAAATAAACGTTTTCAAGAACCTTTCGCTAAATGATTTTTATATACCAATATTAGTTGGTGCTTCATGAACTATAACATATAGCTGATTTCTTGCTCTCACTTTGACTTCTATATTTGGTATTTGAACGCCACTATTATGTTTTTTTGTCCAGGAATATTTCCAGAAACCTGTCCTAATGATTTTATGGTGGCTTTGCAGAGGAATCAACAGGTGTATTAAGGAAGGCTGAAACTGAATATAAGGGCCATCGCTCACTGTTGATGCGGACCCGAAATTTACTCTCAACAATGCAACGTCAGGATGTCATTGACAGGTTTAGAAGCAGAAAGGGGCTTTTCTATCCTCTTGTTTACTAATTATCTACAAAGACTGATGTTGAATTTTATTTGAACAGAGTGATACTTGCAATAGGATTTATCTTGTTCTCTTGTGCTGTCCTTTATGTGGTTTCAAAGCGTATTGGACTGCTCAAGTTGCAGAGAACAGTTACTGCTGCCATAAAAGCTGGTATGGCTCAACAAGGTGATATTAGACGAAGAGGTGTTGAAAATGGGCCTGGTTTTGCTCAGGTTTATCAAGATGCAGTTCCCAAGGTGGAGGCACCTTTAGGAGAGCCTATGCATGATGAACTTTAAGATTGTAGGTTTTCCTTGGAACAAAAAGAAAAAAAAAGGTGCGTATACTATGCTAATTGCTAGTGCTTCTCAGCTTCTTTTCTTATTTCCTTGGGCTGCCTCTCACTTCAGCAAAATCAAGATATAGCCATGCAATGGGCTCCAATTGTTCTCATGTTTACACAATTGTTTTATTTTGTTTTTAGATTACTTTGGCGTGATTTATGAAAATAGCTTGTTATTGGACAGTAAGAGAGAGAAAAAATAGAATAAAGGAGAAGAATAGAAGTTGTTCTCTACTGCTATTTCCTTTTTGTATGCATTTTTACAACACTTATGTTGGCACATACATGTAATACACTCAATTAAATAGCTAAGATAAGAACAGTAAGAAGACAATGAGGGGCCAAAATATTACTCAACAGTTTATGCAATCTGCTTATTTAAAAAGCTGTCATATTGATGTGGCTTTTTAATCTCAACAAGAAGTGATTAATCATGATCTGTACACACCATACTGACTTTAAAGTTGATGAAACATTGTTGGCAAGAGGTGATGATTGGGTGAAAGTGTTTATGCCAGAAGCCAGAAATTTCTCTGTGTTTTTGTATTCAGTAGATAGCCTCCGTTTTGGCCCTTTTTCTGTACTCCAACACAGGTGCATGTGCTGTTCTCGATCAAGTACTCTGCTGTGTCTATGGCCTTTAGCCCTGAACTTCCTGATCTTTTTAATCTGCCACTGCTCATAAAAATAGCACAGAGTGAAAAATCTAAATATGAGGAAAAAAAAAGATTTATTTCAATTATATTAGTAAACCCTAATTAAAAATGATTCTTTTTGGATGAAGGCGCCCATTAAAGAAAATCATTATTTGTCTATAATTTTATATAATGAAATTGGATTCTCAAATTTACCCTAACAAGGCAGTGGAAAGACTTCTCCTTTGGCCAATAATGATGAAATCAACACCTAACATCTTGCTCTTGGCAAGAATTGCAGTACCCTTATCTTTATCTCTAATTCTGGCTTCCGTTTGCATCTTCTCTATCCGGATTCGGATTTTGGGCTGAGCAACCTCACAAATTTGCTTCATAGCCTCAAGAAAATCAATGTCTCCTCCAAATTCCAGATTAGGAATATAATTTGAAGGAAAACTTGACCTTCTCAAGAATGAAAATGTATTCCTCCAAGAACCAGGGTTTTCCACATGGAGAAGGATAAGCTCATCATTCTCAAGAACTACATGAGAGAGTGCATATTGAAGTGCACCGGCCGACTCTCGGCTTGGATCAGCCACCAGCATTACCTTCCTTGCCGGAGATGTTTCACTTTCCATGGCCAGTGGCTGTTGCTACGACCATGAATAACGGTGGCCACTGCCACCACCACCGCTCACCGCAAATGTTTCAAATTTGATGTTGAAATATTTTGGTTTTTGCAAAAACAAAAATGATTTCCACATTGTGTTTTTTTTGTATGTTTATCCCCAAAACTACTAACAAATTCTTAGCTAATGATTTTGTGATTGACAAGATATTGAGCATTTTTCTTTTTCTATATTTGGAATACAAATTTGTGCTTTCCTGTCCTATGCTAAATCTGGAGGGACTCTGCGTTTCTTGAAACCCCAGTCTTTGACTTTGCCAATATACCTTTTACAATTAAAATTTTAACTCTTGTGTTAGTTTTTAATTGGCATACATTAATTAAACTATGTATAGCATAATGCAAACAACCATTTGAAATTTAAATCCATTACTTATTTAAACAAGCAATAATAAGAAAACGTGAATAATTTGGAAGCAAAAATAATGTTTCTACACTTTTCCAAAAAAAAAAAAAAAAAAAAAAAAATGCATACATTAATTAAAACTAGGTGGTCATAGCATAAGTGGCTAGGACGGAACCATTGAAATTAAATCCGATGTACTTATCTTAAACACAGCGAAATAATAAGAAAACGTTGAGATAAGGTTTTGGAAGCAAAATAATTGTTTCTACACATTTTCCAAAGAAATAAAAAAAAAATAAAGTGAAAAAAAAAAAGAAAAAAAAGTTATCCTACCATTTTAAAGTGCAATTAATAGAAACCGTAAAAGAAAGATTCAGAAACAGTAAACTAGAATCATATTCTCACGTTCACTTCATCCATCACATTTGGAAAAATCAAAAAGGTGGATGGATGGATCAATTTTACTCTTCAGTTAAACTCATCAAACTCCACAAAAATGGTTTCACAATCTTTTACTTTCAAGGTTGAACTGCCAAGATTCATCAAAAAAAAAAAAAAAAAAAAAAAAGTTTCTACATTAAAAGGCAATTAATAGAACCGTAAAAGAAAGATTCAGAACAGTAACTAAGAATCATATTTCTCAGTTACTCACCATGGATTTGGAAAAATCCAAAAAGGTGGTGGATCAATTTTACTCTCATCTAAATCATCAAACTCACAAAATGGTTTCACAATCTTTTCTTCAAGGTTGAACTTGCCAAGATCATGACCTCCATACAAGTAATCTTCATTCATCTGCTCCCAGTTATCATCTGTAAAGTAAATACAATTCTTTTCGAACCCTGAAAAATCTTGACCTGAAACTGACATTGAATGGTTACCTCCAATGAATAAAGCTTGATTCTTCAAACTCTCCACTTCGACCCATTTCTGCTCTCTCCCATCCAACTTATAAACATGGAAATTTTTTGTTCTATAAGGACAAACCAAAGGCTGCGTATCTGCATCACTCAAAAGATATTCTTCATCAACAACTTCCCCTTCTTGATTAACAAAATTTCCTATAAACCTAATTATAAACAAAATCTCACCACATGATTCCACTAAATAACTTCGGCTAAAATGTGAACCTCTATAAGTCTCTATAGCTTCTGTCATTGTTCTTGGAATTGAAGCATGAATTACACTTTTCTTTCTTGGCAAGGAAGCACTAAAATCCCAAACTTCAATCGAAATATTAACCGTTAACGCATAAACAAGATCATTAAAGCAAATAATGTCGCAGTAATCCTGGTTATTATTAGATACACCATCAAGAACGGTGCTCCATGCAGAATCTCCAATCTTGCAAAATGCGAGCCTTGTAGAACGGTATCCGTACATTAATACAACAGTATTATAGTTGTTGTAGTTGTTATTTGATGGAGCAGACAGTAAAACAGCTTTGGTAATAGAAACTTTCCTTAGATAGTCAATGAAATAGGACTTACGAACACCAAACTTTGAAAAATCTAATAAAGGGAGTTGAATTTGAGATTGCGAGAAAGGATTGAGAAGGAAAGGTATAGCTTCATTGTCTAAAACTACTAGCCAGCCATGAGAGGATCCAATGCACCAAGAATCTTCACCAAGCTTTTTGCCTATGTTCTTAATATAGTACTTCTTTTGGTCCTCAAGACTAAACAAACAGCGAGTGTCAGAATCATGTTGTTCTTGGTTAGCAGGAAGGAGGAGCAATGGTGGTCTAGAGAATGGAGTGAAGTATGAAGAAGAGAGAAAATAATTTGCAACGGAATGCCAAGAAGAACAAACTGCCTTGAAACGGAGGATTTGAATGAAAGATAGTTTTGAAAGTATAAGTTGTAGAAGTTCAGGTTGAAGCTCAGACCAATCTGGTTCAGGGTTTTTGGTTAAAGAAGGTTTAGAAGAAGAAAGTCTTCTTCTTTTAGGGTTCATGATTATGAGCATGGTAGTACTAGAAATTGTTGAATGAGAAAGTTGAAAATACGCTGAATTGCGTTTATATTTATAGAGTAGGTGTCCAAATCTAATAAGGATTTGGATTGATAGGCCTTAATTAAAGGGATTTGAGTGAATCCTTAATTAAAACGGAGAAGACTGACAACTTGTTCTTTTGAATGTGTAAGAAGTAATTATCATTGCATTAATTGTAGTTGTTAGTACAAAGACCGACTTGAAAGCAGCACGGATGAGGAAAATTTCTGTTCTGATCTCTAAATGGAAATTTGAGTTAAACCCATTAAATATTACATATATCATTAAAATTCTAATAATGACAATCACGTGTCTCATCATTTACTAAATACTCTCCCTATTGTTCTTTTAAGTGAATAATATCTTAAATTTATTATTTATCCTTATTTAATATATTTTTATTAATAAAGAAATTAACCATTATTATTAATTAAATCTTGATATAATCAAAATTAAAATATCATGCTTTAATCTTTGTAGAACACTTTATTTAATAAAAATTTTGACAATAGCTTGTTAATTTTACAAATAATTTAATACAGATCGGTTAATTTTTAATATTATGAATATAAAAATATATTAAAAAAATAAAGTAAAAATCACAGTTTAACCATATTAATTAAAATCTGTTAACAATATGTAAGATAAATCAGGAAAAATTACAGAACGAAAAGAATAGTTATATCCGTGAAAAAATCCGTCCGGATCATTTTTGGATTTTGCGTAGAAACTAGTAATATAGCGCGCCACAATTGTCAAAGGCAACGGTAAATCATCAAAAGTTGATAAAATAATGAGGGGAAAAAGTTACAAATTTGATACGTCTAAACCTTCATTTCAGTGCATAAGAAGTAGTTGCAACTCTACTCAACTCATGATGCAAGATAACTGAAATTACAAGCACATGCCAAATCCTTAATATCCATGGTAATATTACCAACAAGAAACTCTCAATTTCCAAATTTGTTCTCCATTTTGCGCTAAGTTGGATCTAAATTTGCTGCTGTCTGTTGGTCCGTAAGGTAATGCTTCCAAGCTAAACCTTTTAGATTGAGCGTTGGAAATCATGGATCAGCATCTGGTACCTATTTGCAGGTCAAGAATATTGTGTCTCCAGCTGCAATAAGGAAAGGTCAAATTTCATGATCTAACATGAAAGAAGTATTTTGTAATGAAAAACAAGAGTTCTTTCAGATTAAGAAGATACCCACTCGCAAACTTTCAGCTTTTGGCATTTAATTTCTCAAGGAGGATCTTGTTTAGAAGCCCTGGATTTGCCTTGCCTTTTGATATTTTCATAACCTGCAAATGAATTCAATGGTCAAAATAATTTTTCTACAGGGGCAAGTTCTGTTAAAAAAATAAAAAATCAGGGGAAAGATAATGTTTAAGTATTATACCTGGCCTGCAAAAAACCCTTGTATCTTACTTTTTCCAGCACGATATAGCTCCAACTGCTTCGGATTCTCAGACAGCACTTTATCCACCATTTTCTCAATCTCAGCAGGATCTACAATCTGCTATTTTAGAAACATGTGAGAGATATACGACCAGACTTACATTGTTCCCTTATCATGATCTATGTAATTTGTCTCAGCAATTTGAATTCTCTGCATTGGTCACTCTAACATAATTCATCAATCAATGAAACAATACCAATCTCGGACTTTCAGATATGTTGACTTCCTCCAAAATAAAATGATGCTAATGAAACCTTGGTTTGAATTAGTTAATCCTTATACAAGTATTTCAACAATCAATCTTGCTCAAATAAAAAGAACATATCTTTAACAAGATCAGCTTGTTCCAACATGAGCCTCGTGAAGAAAATGACAAACTGTCAAGCATCTGAACTTCCAGTTTTATGTTTTTTCAAAGTCACCAATTTATGTATAATTAGAAGCATCCTTTTCAACCTAAAAGTAACTCCTATGTGACAATACAAGCACAAATATGCCTTAAAAAATAGGCTACTGGAACAAAAGATAACTTGCCTGAACAAGATCCTTTTCTTTTATCAATCCCTTAACAGTTCCACCATTGGCAATGAGCTCAAACAATATCTGCAATTAATAAGGAGAGGCAATAAAAGAGACAATGTTAAAAAGATAACAAGGTCCAACTACCAATTTAGCTATTTTTAACTGCACTTGAATGCCTTCCAGATATGTTTCTTATTAAGTTCTTTGACCATCGTGTACAAGGCCACAAACCCAATTGGAAAAGGAGAATTGAAAGAAAGCTAATAAACTAATATGCTATGGTAACGAGGATTTTATGATCAAAGGCCAAGGAAAAAAGTAAGGAAGCAAAATTTTCAAATCAATTAGCCAAGGGAAACTTTGTGCAGATAATGCATATTAAAATGGTGAGATTCAAAAATAACTAGAAATCAAGATGTTGCAAACTCTAAATAATAAAAAGCAACATATTACAATGATGAGATGGGTAAGGGTATTAAAGAAGTTTTAACATGAATTCTGAAGTGATCTTTTACCTCTTTCCCAATCTTCCCACTAATAGTCCCACCTTTAATTGAAGCAATCAGCTCAGCTAGCTCTTGAGGGGTAAGTTTGATTTCATTTATAGACACCTTTTCATTTTTCATATAGGCAGCAATATCACCCATTATCCAATTTGCAGCCAGCTTCACATCAGCACCCTTAGCTATGGTTGCATCAAAAAATTCTGCAATCTAAGACATTTATTCAATGAATGAAAATCCTCAATCAGATAATCCCAGCATAATACCTTTTTAGGAAACACCATATTACAAAAGTCACAAGAGTTGAGAAAGGAAGGAAAAGTTGCTGAGGGCTGCTTTAGTAAAAGACATTGAAAATGACTCAATGGCCCCTCGAAGACAAAATAACTTTTCATAACTACTAAACAATAGTTCTGTCAAGCAATGTGAATTCAGCATTCCTGTCCCTAAATAGATGAATATAAATTCTAGAAGGCAATAAGTGCAACACCCTAGCAAATGTAACTAGACAGACACTTTGCACTGTTGAAGACTTACACTCATGTCATTTGCAAGGAAAAGGACATCCTGCATGCCTAGGCCCATGTTCTCATACCTCCGACGCTTAATTTCTGGGAGATCTGGCAAAGAATTTTTAATGCTATCAACATATTCTTTTGTGAAAATAACTTCTGGAAGGTCTGGTTCTGGGAAATATCGATAATCAGAAAGCCCCTCCTTTTTCCTCATTGAAACTGTTTTCTAAACAGAGAAAACGGGATTATGAGTTATGATTGACAGGCTGGAGTGCATTTCTTTATGTACTTATTCAGAAAAAAAAAAAAACTGGTTCTGGTTGCTCTAGGAAGAAAAAAATATGTAGTATAACCTGAGCGCCTTCTTCCCAAAGACGAGTTTCTTGGACAATTGAATCAACTTGGCCTTGACTGTGGAGAAGCACTTGCCTTGATATCTCAAAATCAATGGCCCTATTAATTGATGAAAATGAGTTTAAATTCTTTATCTCAACCTGCCAAATCAAAACAAAATGAGACCATCCAAATATTATAAGCCAGGTAAACAAATGTAACTCTTTCAACTTTATAAAAATAGTACATTGGTAATTCTTGTCACCAAGAGAAGAAAGAAAATAGGCTTATGAGAGCATTCCAGCAGTATTCTAAAATTATGCAAGCATGGTGGTAAAAGTAGCAATAATGTTGAATATTCCGGCTCCTAGTAACTCTGAAATACTCTAAATAAAAAGCCACCAACCAAGTCATTTCACTAAGTTAATGAAGTTACCTTTGTACCAAACTCTGATTGCCCGATTGGTCGAATTGAGACATTCACGTCACATCGAAGAGAACCTTCTTGCATATTGCCATTGCTCACGCCTAAATACCTCACCATCCTCTGTAGTTCTGCAGCATATTCTGCAGCTTCAATACCATTTCTCATATCAGGTTCAGAAACAATTTCAAGCAATGGTACCCCAGCCCTATTCAGATCAACCTGAAAAAAGACAATAAAAATAGTCAAAAACCCTATTATTACACACATCTTAAATCTTCTAATAATTCCTAGAAACAAAAGCTCTCGAAAAATAATGATCTTGCTAGTCAACTGAGATACAAATTTCCAATTGATGATACTAAAGCTTAACCAATATATCACAAAACTAATGCAGCAAATAGATCAAACCATAAAACCAGCAGTACTAGGACACCAGATTCCAATTATACATTCAAGAAATGTGAAACCAAATATCATAAAAGACACAGTAAGAATGTAAGAACATTAACACAACAAAGAGAAAAAGTAATTTCCTGTGAGAAACTTCCATTTCCTGAATGAAGTAGCTTCCCTGCATCCTCTTCCATGTGAAGCCTGGTAATGCCAAACCTCCTATGCCCACCACCAAATTCCATAGGGAGATCCAAATCAATGTAACCACCAGTTCCAATTGGTATATCAAACTGTGATATTTGGTATCCTTTTGGAAGATCAGGGTAAAAGTACTGTTTTCTATCGAATTTTGAGTTCAGTGACAGCTTGCAGTTAAGTGCAAGGCCTAATTTCACAGCAAATTCAATAACTTTAGAGTTCAAAACCGGTAAAGCACCAGGCAAGCCCATGCAAATGGGACAGATACTGGAGTTTGGTTGTGCTCCATAGTTGTATGGGCAGCTGCAAAAGGCCTTGGTTAAAGTAGAGAGTTGGACATGGGTTTCTATACCGATGATTGCTTCATAGTCTTTTGTGAGTTTATCAAGTGTTTTGGACTGTGTTTCAGGTGAAACTTTGATTTGCTTACTGTGCTTTTTTTCCCGAGTGGCTGTCTGGCTCTGTGTAGTGCTTTTCATTGTGCAGTAGAACACACCATTCTTTCTTCTAAAAAATGTAGTAGGGTATAACAATAAAGAACTGGTCTGAATGTTTCTGAACAATATGGAAGCCATGTTGTCAATTAATTACTCCAATTCAGAAACCAAACAGTTCTACGGCCGCCTCTGCAAAATATCAAACGGGCAAGAAGCAAGCTACAAAGGTCAAGAAAAGAATCATAAAAAAAGGAAAGCAGGAAATTAACTTATACAAAGTTTAAGACTTGGAATTGGCATTGAACATAAGAACTAAAAGAACTAGATACCCAAGTGAAGACTCATGCTTTAAACTTGAAATGAGCAAAAGAATAATACTACAAATGGTATTAAAATAAGGAGAAACTGCTTCTTAAGGTGCGTACCCAGAAAGTATGCCCGTAAAAGCACTAAAATTGGTAAACGAATGTAAATAATTAAAACAAAAAAGAGAGAATGAAATGCTGTAGAAAAGCTAAGCATGGATTAGTTACAGTTTACCAATCAAATACAACAAGAGAATAGAAAGAGAGCAGAGAGAAAAATTTCGTTTTCGTTTCCAGAACCTCTTGTTGTTGAGGGTAAAGTTGAGACCACCGTAGAGCAACCAAAAATCATCCGCAGCAACACTGGAACCAAATTATCTGTTTCGGAACAAGTGAAGGGAGGCTGATGCCACGTCAACTGTAGAATGAGCCAATAGGGGCGACACATAGGCTAGTGGCAGGACCGTAAAAGTGAAAGAAGAAAGAGGCAAAAATGATTCAAAGCGGCTCACAGTTGAAGCCAAGTTAACTTGAGCCGGGTTCAATTAATTAGCAATCAAAACGTTGCCGTATTCGCAGTAAGGAAAAATCCCAATCCCTGTTCTTCCCCAATGTCTCTCAGCTCGCATCGCCCTGTCTCCCCTCTGCCATATTTGCTTGCTCTATCTGTCTCTCTCGCTCCCAGTCAGTACGTCCCTAGTTTTTCTATCTCTCTGGCTTCCTCAACTTTCCCAGCAACCAAACACTTCAAAGAAGAAAAATTCCAACAAATATAAAAACAGAAAACTAAACAAGAGATAATTATACAATTGAAGCAAACATCGTTTCATTGCAACACTTCAAATTACAAGATTATGTTTTCCTCTCTCACTTATCACCATTTCCACCATCACCGCCATCAATGCCGTTAATAAAAATCTTACAGGGAAAAAAAATTAAAATAAAAGAGGCTTTTGTTCGAGATGAAGGATTTGCAGAACCTGACACTACAGGGAACGTGACAGAAAAGAGCGGCAGCAACTTCGGCTCCGCTTCTCTCGGTGTAGTTGCCGGTGATGGATGCAAGTAAAAGCGCTTCTCTTTGATTGCTTTCGCTCTCTGCGTTAATAACTAATAAATTATCATTCACGCTATTATTCTTGTGAATTTTGTTGTAATTACTCAAGGGAGTGTAAAAATTTAGGATATTTTGCTGTCCAAGTCGGTAAAAACAGGTCGGTTATTAAAGAAGTAACCGGACTGAGAATGAGAGCTGGGAAATCGAGGGGAGTGGGAGGTGGATTGCAATGGCTTTTCTGTTGCTGCTATGTAGAGGGAATAAGAGACTGTGGGTTGCGGTTGTATTGGTGTTTCGTCGCGCTGTAAGAGCTTCAATCAAAACATGGAAGACCAGAGACAGAACCAGAGAGCGATGCGAGCTGAGACAGTTTTCCTTACAGAAAATGCGATGTGGTTTTGCTAACTATCTTGCGCCCAAAGTTACAATTTAGAATAATAGTTATTGGAAAAAAAAATTAAATTAGGGTGAAATACAATAAGGCACTAAGTTCATGTATTTTTAATTATTAATTCGAACATTTTGGAAAAATAACATAAGAAAAAGTTCTCAATTTTGAAACTTATAATAATGTTCATCGAAACTTTATCAATAGATATTTTATATTTTAAACAATTACGACTTTTGTAATTACCATCCAAATTCAGTTGAAGAAAAAATAAAAATTGGTTGAGGAAGACCTTTCTAAACTACTTTTCAAGATTTTGTCATCATTATTCTTTAAAAAAAATTCTATCAATATTTGCATTGAAATTTAAATTAAAACAGTTAACAGTAGAATTTTCATTTAAATCACCTATGCATCACCTTATCCCATTTGCATAAATCTTCTTTTCCTTAAAAAAATAAGGAATTTACTGGACTCTGCATCGAGTTAACATGTTAACATTTTCTCATCCCAAAAAAAAAAAAGTTACCATCTGGGTACACATTCTGCAAGTTGAGCAACTTAAAAACAAAATTGCTGCCGCCACTTGCAATTTCAATTGCAGAATACAGTTTTCATATACATGATACATACAATCAGAAACCTCCCTTACCCTTACCTCACAATTTTCTTCATTAAAGTAGCTTTTACAAAATGGGTAGTCAAAGGTGTAGACATGTTAATGGACAGGCGTGGTTTCAAGAGAGAGATTGCTTGTGCCAAAATTCCGATGTTTACCATCAGCAATGTTGCTAAGTTGGAATCCCTTTCTGGGTAGCTGGTTGATAAGAAGAGTTTCCAGTTGGCAAGCAATGCTCTTTCCTTTAACTATGAAATAAAGAAAAGAGGCATTATACATCCCTTCCTTTGATCGATGTGCATGGACTCGGCCTTCAAGATCATCTGTCTGCTCCAACATTTAATGAATGGCTCAGGAATTTAAGAGATGAATAAAATCAAAGGGATCTATTCAAGTCAACAGAGATAAATCACATCAAATAACATATAGAAATTGATATGGGCAAGATGCAATTTCATCTCTATTGAAATGAACTGCTATTCAAAGTAGTATCTAAGAATTAATGTAGGAAGTAAAGAATATGTTAAAGGGAAGTACCACTCCAACGTATAGCCTCTTGTCTGGTCTGAACATGATATAGACACATGAAGCACCGATTGTTGATGGAGGTGGCTGTTCCCTTGCACCAATGGCAACACACTGCACTGTTTCAAGTTCTGCTGTGTTTTTCTGCTTGTAGAGCTCAATGAGCTTCCTCTGGCATATTAGGGTAACAGCACTCTCAACGTCCTTCTTTTGCATGACTTCCATCTCTTTGGCTGATTTGGTATCATGATGAAGAGCTCTTGCAGTAGCTTCCGTCAGTGCAAAATGGGCTTCATTGGAGCCATTAACAGTTCCGCTAGAATGGATTGGTCTTTTTCTTTCTTCAATCCTTTCGGGAGAGACTTTTTTAGCATAAGCAGAAAAATACAATTCTTCAGCTCTTTGGACAATTGTTTCTGGGATCCCTTCCTTCTTTGCGGTTTCAAAAGCAAGGCTTTCTTTACAGATCCCATCTATCAATCTCCAAGTTGGTTTTGTTTGTCCATTGACATATTCTGTTCCCATTGCTTTACATGTGGTGTTCTTTGTATGAAGTGGCAAATCAAATATTCCATGCAAGTGAGTAGATACAATACCCAGACAACCGATTTTATCAAGGGATTCAATAATGCTTCCAGCAATACAAGTCCCTTTCGCAGTTTCTGTCCCTCGGCATATTTCATCAACAAGTACAAGACTCCCTGATGAGGCTTCAGTTATAAGAGACCGGATTTCTGACATTTCCACCTAAGAAGTTAAAACCATGTAAGATGGATAATGTTTGATTACCAGGAACTATTTAATTAGAATTAATGGAGTATAAAGCAGTTGAGCACCTGGAATGAGCTTTTCCCATCGGCAGGACTATCATAAGATTTCATGTGAAGCATAATGGAATCAAAGTGAGGAATCTCGGCTGATTCCGCAGGCACCATAAAACCACATATTCCCAGTAATGCAGATGCACAAATTGATCGAAGCAAACTAGATTTACCACCTCCATTTGGTCCTGTCAAAAGAATTAAGGACTGCATATCAACTGTATTATGTACAGCACTGCCTTCTGCTGTATCAAGCCAATATGGAGATAGGCCCATTAATTTCATTCCATTAGCTCCTTCCAGTGATTTCCTGTCCTACACTCAAAACATCGAAGAAGTTAAAAATCATAGCAATTTCATGATGCCAAAATTCTATGACAGGTGTGAACACTGCAGTCTTTGTTATAAGCCAGTTCAAGATTTAGTCCAACACAAGCATTGTTAAAAAAGACGAATTTTAGCAATATATATTATAAACAACAGCAGAAACTGTCAGTACAAAGACTATCAGGCAGCCAGAAAGTCCATAGCATTATTTTTAATTACGAAAGGAAATTGAAATTTATAAGAGGCAGAAAAAGTTTTCTTAATAGATTTTTGTTCTATGGCTCAACGAGGAGGGGGAGGGGGAGGGGGCGGGGGTGGCAACTGCGAATGGTTGTCAGAAAAGTTAATACAATAAGGCAAATCACTGACCAAAGGTTATTAGTAATGCAATATTAGCTAAAATCAAATAAGGTCAACATTGAATCAACATGGACAGATGACATATTACTACCTCTGTCTGACTCAAGCCAATAAGAGTGGGGAACACCCATTTCCTTCGCCTCCCTTCACTGTCATAATCAATGAAACCCAAAATTAAAATACGGTTGATTAATATCAAGTATTGGAGATTCAAAGATGATTAGAACTATAGTAAAATTAATAGTCCCAGAAAAACAATGTGATGGAAACTGATGGCTTGTCTAATTGCTGATTATCAATGAACTTCATCAGGAAATGGCCATAGTCAATTAAGTCAAGCCTTCAGGCAAATCAGCCTCATCCAAGAACAGCAATATTAAATACAAGTCTGCATCCATCTTCAGTGCTTTAAGGTGGATCTTATTTGTATTCTTATATTCAATTTTTGGTTGTTGGGATTCAATTTGATTGCAGTAAAACAGTGTCTTTGTGCATTCACACACGCACATTTAAAGAGCAAACTTGGGATATTCTGAATTCACTCGGATAATTAATATTTGTATGGAACAAAGATTTTAATTTAGTAAATCAGTAAAGAGACAACCAAGTTTCATAGATGTACCGGAATTTCTCTCAGTTTGAGATTATTATTAAACTGATATGACCAAATCTAATCCAAAAGTTTTTATCCAGGTCTAGAGTATCGCCAAAATACATTAGCATTCAAATTTTCTTAGCTCACTGATAATCTAGCAATTATGTCAAATAAGCACTGCAAAAAGGACAGACTTACTGCAACAGATGATTTAAGCATTACTGGAACAGATTACCCAACATAAAAACCCACCTCACATGAGCAAATAGTGCCTTTGCAATAACAAGCAACATTGATGCAAAGATAAGGATATTGATCCTTGACTGCAACTCAGCAGAAAGCCCCCTCAACAATTCCAAGACCCTTGCTTTTGCCTTATCAATAGCGGCGTGATACCTGAACAGAGGTAAAAGAATTTTATCAGTCAAACACATTAAAATAAAACATATGAGGCCGTGGTTAATAGCTTTGAAGAAAGCAAGCATGGAAACTTTTGTGGCTTTAAGTTAAAAAATGAAAAAAAGAAAACAGAAAAAGAAGGAAAAGAAAGAAAAGCTCACCTCATTAAAGCATCCTCCACCTTAATGGTAGTGAACCATTCCTCGCCAACTTTTCTACCTTTAGAGTCCACAGCAGGTTTAAGCTGTTTAATTTGTTCTTCCCCTGGGGTACCAGCCCAAACTGCCGGTGCAAACCGTTTTCCCTTAAACCATACAGATTCATGCTCTCGAGCATATGATACTTCTCCCTTAGGACCACCAAGAGGGGCCATGCTGGCTTTTATTCTTGAAATGATGGGGATGAAATCTTCAGTGACCTGCATGAATTGTAAAAGCTTGAAAATATATATAACCAAAGAAACATGCCACTTATCTACCAAATAAAAATTGAATAAAGCAAATTCTACGAGCGTTAAAAATAAAACAATTCTATGCATTTATTGACTGAGATGAGAATTAGAAAATCAAATATTTAAGCATAGCTCAAGAATCATAAAGTTTTAAGGTTAATTGGCAATGTCCCATGTATACAGGTGTTTGTACTAAACAAATGTTTCTATATCATCTTGAAGTAAAATAGATGTTGAGATGATAGATGTTGAGATGAGAGTGCAGCACTAATAAAAATCCATTCCACACCAAATCTGTAAAAATCATGATCATTATGTAAAACACATCCTAGATTAATGATTCATTAAGTTCAAAGATTTGGATTACACCATGTAATGACCATTCATGGTTCTTGGAAACTTGTCATAAATTCAAGCTGGAAAAAAGTTCAAATTTGGCTGTGAAAATTTTGGGGTTGAACAACTAGTAGTTGCTCCTAAGTCCCAGACATAAAACAAAACACCCCCTAATTCAGATTCTCTAAGTACTCCATATCTTATAATAGCATGTCATCGAATTTTTTTAGCTTGAATTTTATAGGAATCAAACATGGTATCAACTAATAACAGGAATCAGTTGCGGAAAATTACTGCTGATGACAAGGCCTGTGCTGCACTTTCCACTTCTGCAAATTCTTCCTCTATATGGATCCTCTTTACACGACCTCTCCAAGACAACTCCATATCCTCAAAAAATTCACTAGGAACGACAGAATGGGAATCTGACTTTCGGTCAATTTTATCTTCTAGATAGATCATTTCACAAATTCTATCTGAAGCCCATTCACATTCATTGACCTGCAGAAAACAAGGAAAAAAACACATTATAACACATTAAAGCCCATGAAATTGTAGGAGGATGATAGCCAAAAAAAAAAAAAAAAAAAATACCATGGTATCAATTCTAATCAACCAGGGAATGCACGTCTTGCGGACACACATTTACTAGAGCTGATCTCGACCACAGGACCCTAGAATGCTCGCAACTCTTCCTCACGTATCCCTGACGAAAAGGGATTACTGTGGCCTCTATATAGAGATCTCTTTAACACGAGCATCGTTTCCTGAGAGAACAACTAACCATATCCTCTATAAATACATTATATCTAGCATCACGAGAGTATAACGACAGAATGTCGGCAAACTGTCACTTAACGTGTGAGTTAAAGCCCATATACAACTTATTTACTCATTTGCATCAGACTTACGCACTCATAGTATTCACACACACAACATATTCGTAGCTGAGAAAGACCCATTACAACACTACACATTGACTCATGTTCACACACAATATAACTAAAAGCCCGATAGAAAAATTAAGTATAAGGTAGGATGACATCATATAGAGCACCGCAACATGAAAAAAGAGTAAAGAAAAAGAGAAAATAAACGACACAAAAGAAAAGAGAGAAGAGAGAAGGAACAAAAAACACAGTACAGAGAGATACGTCCAAAAGCATAAATGGAGCTAGAAGATCTGCTTGTGCTATATACTAATAAGCATCTCGAGTAGTCGATGAAATAGGCGATGGTAGTGCTTTGCGTCATGTATTGAATTGATAACCGAACATAGCGAGAAGTGCCAGTTGACTTTAATGAAGAGATGGCGATACTATATGAAACTAAAAAGCTAAATATCATTAATCTATTCTGCATCCTTGGAAAATAATTCCTCTGGCAGGTCATTATCTTTAAAAATAAATTATTTAAAAAAAAAAAAAAAAAAAGACAAAGAAGAGAGAGAGACTACAAAAGCATATATTAGAAATTGCTTTGCTTATACTAATAAGCATCTTTATGAAATGGTGTTTTGCGTCATATTAATTGACACAAAGTGCCAGTTCATAAAGATGCGAGCTAAACTAAAAACTAAATCATTAATCTATCTGATCCTTGTAAATATTTCCTCTGCAGGTCATTATCTTTAAAATAAATATTTAATTGTTTGAGGCTTAAAGACATAAAATTAACATACTGATTCACATACTCGTCTTTAAAGAGGGAAACCTGAGATAGAGGAGCTTTAAAATTCATTGGTTACCCTTAGAAAAGAATATGTGCTGAATACCCATAAAAAAAGGTTTAATAATGAGAACTGAAGTCTTGGATTCTTTAACAAGATATTGTTATTATCTTTTTCTTCTAAATACTGGGCATTAAGTTCATCTAAAAGTAAGATATAGTGCCAACAAATCCTGGATGAATAGGAGTTTGTAACCATATTAGCAAACTAGTGAAATTTACGTTTGTTCTTAGAAAAGGCAGAGTCATTCCACTTACTAATGTCTCGAAGTCAATTTTCAATCCAGTTGCCACCCATGTAGGATCCATTAATGATTTTAGGATTTCAGTGAGCTCCAAGTTCCTATGCATGTGCAATATCTCATCAAGCACATTTTTTATTCTGCAAAACTCAATATGATTGGCCTCCCTCAGTTCAAGTAGCTTCACTAGCTGCACAACATGAAGCGAAACAATGGAATTACATGTAGAAAGCATAATGAAAGGAGATGGTTGATTAAACAAAAGGGACAATACAAAGCATGCAAGCGAGAAATCATTCAAGCCTTGTTTGGATGGAATGAGGGAAGGGTTATTACAGTAAGCTAAAGGAAATTAAGGTAGGGAAGTAAGTTTTTTGCGTTTGGGAGGTATCAGAAAGTACCTTGTAGTGGAAGATTTTATTTTTTTAAGGAAATAGTAATTTATGCATATTAATTTAGTACTTTCTAAACTACATTTCAAGGGCATTAATTAAAGCTCTATTAAAATTTAAAGTATAATAATAATATAGGTTCTCTAATAATAGAAATTACTTATATGTTAATTGTAGGCCCACTTCTATTGGCAACGAATTAGCAAAATTAGAAATGAAGGAAAAGACAAGAAGAACAAATAAGAAAAATCAAGGAATAAATTTAAAACAGAATATAAATAATAAGGATAACTTTGGAGTTTTATATTATGACCATATTTTGGAAAGCAAAATGTTTAACCCATATGCCTCCACCCCAATTCGGTGGGTTTAAAAATGGGGTGTTCAAAAAACCTTAAAAAACATTTCCCTCCCTCAACCCCTCTTCCCAAACAACTTATTTATCCCACCTTACCATATCTTACTCCCCAAAAACCCCAAATAATCTTTAAAACTTTTCATGATTGTTTCAATATAGACAACTAAACTATGGAAATATACAATCCAATAGAAGCTCCAGACAGTGACTGTATGCAATAAATTGAAGCAATATACATATGATTGCACAATGCAGTTACTCTAGCTGAATAAGGTTCCTTTCATCTAATTGCATCACTGAGATTTACAAAAAGAAGCATTAAATAGAACATAAATTCTTTTACATCTAACGTATAGGTCTTTTTACATCTAACATCCAGAAGTAATAGAAAACAACCTTTGCAGATGAAACACAAGTAAATTCTGGGATAGAGCACGTAACATTGCTCATAAGTTTGCATATTGCTGCCAAAGAAATAAAGTTTAGTAAAAACTTTGAGCATCATTTGAAACATATAAAATAAAAACTTTGAACTTGGTTGCACCATATAACAATGAAAAGCGCTGAAAATAAAAATAAAATACAAAGTAAAAAAAAAAAAAAAAAAAATGAAGGGGAAATTATTTAAACTTCAGTCTGCACCCCCTTCCCAAAAAGGTCCTTCAAGTTTGCATTGCTGCCATTCCCTTTTTTACTAACATAAAATCCATTAAAGTTTGCTCAGTTAACTTTTTCAATAAAATCCACAATTTTTACTATATAGTTCAAAGTTATGTAGCTTCCATATTTCTCATTCATTTGTACATTATCTTGGTCTTCAAAATCTGAAGTTCAAATCACAAAACTACTATTTTACTCTTGGATTTCAAGATTACTATTTCAGTAAACTTTGACCAAAAAATAATGAAGCAAACCACCACAGGGATAAAGTATCAAACTGAAAACCAAGTGTGGCAAAGCTAAAAATAGATCTGACCATGGGAAGACAGCATAATTTACCCCTTGTATATTCTATCTTCATGCACACAATCAAAAATGCATCCTGATATTGTACAGCACATTCACTCACAAGTCAGCTGAACTGAATGCACTTCCAATAACCAAAAAACAAATTACCAAACACCAAGTCAATGTGAATGTGAAAATTCCAACCTTTAAAAGAATTAATTATTTAGTGTGATAGAAAAAAAAAATACGTATGAAAACATTTACCCACAACAAAATTTATCGCCGAAACACCAAAGTAGTTATCCAAGGGGATTTACCAAGTAATTTGATTTATTTCAAATTCAATAACCAAAGGAACAACCTACATACAGTATGTTTGACAACTCACCTTGAATGGTGGATGCAATTTCATAAGCAGGAGGATTCAGAAGAAGATCTCTCACATATCTGAGAAATCATAAATTAATAACACATGTTTTGCAAATCAGTTCTATTATGTCATAGGAACAAAGAAAAAGAAAAAGCATGCAGAAGAGTTACCACAAACAAAGAACACAATAAAGTAGAAGAAAGCAAATTAATCAGACAATTAAAAAACAATAACCTTAGTACATTCTTAGCAAGAACTTTATTTCACTTTGTAGGGAAAACCTATTGCCATAACTTTGTTTCACTTGAGTTCCAAGAAGTATAGGAACTCAACTAAATTCCATTAAATAATTCGTTGCATAAGCTGAACCAACTTTCTGGTCCACATCCCTCCCCCAAGTGCCTCAAAAAAAAAAAAAAGGAAATAAAAAGAATAGGTATCGGGAAAAAGATATGGCAAATGAACTTGTTGTGCTCATCAACATCTACCAGTAAATAAAATCAACAATTTGCATCAGTCAAGCCAATACATAGACAACATTTTAAGAAAGAAAATTTCTTACTTACAATACAGGGAGACCTGAGCAATTTGATGGAAGCAATACCTTCAATAAACAAGGTATTCCTTCTGTTGGTATGACACCTGAGAGTATGAAATACTTGTTATAATATTGGCTGGCACTACATAAAGAATTCAATTTAAACTGTCTAAGTAAAGTTAAATTGACCAATTTGCGTTGCTGTTCCAAGGTGCAATGAATGGGGCCTATTTTCTGAAGGCACAGTGACATTTCTGAAAGCAACTCCATTTTCAAGACCATAAAGCTCCCTGACCTAGAATTGTCATAAAAGAATGCAATATTTAATATCATCAAACTATATAGCAATGAGAAAAGAACACACCAGTTCAAGTGCAATAAAATCATTTAATTGAACCTTAAACAAAAGCTCAGTGACAGGATTGCCTTGAAACCATTCAAAGTGTCTGGTGCTGCATTCTCCCCATAAAAGGCCACCCTCGCCAAATTCTCCCCAACGACAAGTTCCTGCAGAAAAGAATTGATGCAATAATAAGTAATAACTGATTGGAGAGAGGGAACATGTAGCTCAACCCAAACCCAAGATCACTGACATATCAAGAATTAAAAGGGGAAAAAAACGCAGGCTAAACATCCATAACATGGTGCAAAAAATAAAGGTACATGGCATCACTTATAGTGAGGACTGATGACCTAATAATCCATTACTGCCATGTGCACTTCTATTCCTCTCATGCAAGTGATGTAATCTTTATATATACATGCCTAGGAACAAAGATCCAATAAATTGACCATAAATCACAATGCACTCAGAATCCAAGTATTTACAGTTTTTATTTTTTTTTTCCCAATGATGGTCATTTTAATGCCTTTTGCAAAAAATCAGAGTAAGAACCTTGATAAACACTATAGCATATAATTAGTCATCTGTTTGTCAACACAAGAATCAAGATTGATCAGATTAGTGAAACTGGTAATAAATGTTACTCACCTCATAATTTCTTGGTAAAATACATTTTTTGTCCAGCTAATTGTTAGATATAGTACTTTATTTACATAAACGCCAATTATTCCTAATTCAAGACAGTCTGACATCTGTAATTATTTCATTCATACATTTACACTCTTTATAATCATATAAAGCAAAGTTCAGCTTTTAATTGGAGAGCCAGAAGGTCAAATTTTACATTAAAAAAATAACGGGAGATGGCTCAATCATGCAAACCCAAGTTTGCAACTCCACCCTGTCGTTCCTGCAGGATCTGGTTTCCCTTTTTTCCTACAATATCACTTTTGCAACGTATAACCAATGACGTATCAGTTATCAAAACCACTCCAAAATTAACATAGATGTATGAATAAAATGATGACACCAATTCATCCAAAACAAACTTTTCCATTTCCACAAAAACAAGAACCTTAAATATAACAAAATAATGGTGTACAAACCTGAGGAATTGTTTCTTAAAGATGTATGAAGAAATAGATGATGGTAGCGACATGTACGAAGCTTGGCAACTAAAGCCTCTTCAGTAAGACCATCTTCTAATGAATATGTCTTCATAGCCTCTAAGACTGAGACTATGCAATAACCCCTTGCAGAACGTGATATTCCTATAAATGCCAGAATTATTTTACAATCATAAGATCCTGTTTCTTTTTTCCCCTTTTCTCTTTTTGGGGTAATAAATCTGTCAACATTCTTAATGTAATTTAAAGAAAGAAAATTCCGTACCAACCACGGGCATTGGTTCTGGGAAGTCAAGATCATGGTCAACCCCCACAAGTCCAAAAACATATGGACTGCCTGGATGTGCATGCCTGAGTACAGAACAACATGTGAATTTCAAGTGTTACGAGCAAACAATAATTTACAAAAAAATACAAAGAAAAATTGCAGCATGAGCAAGTACCAATTTCTATGCCCCTTAATTTGAAAATTTTGCTTACTTTCAAATGTGCAACTATCAACATGATCTAATTCATATGTCCAAAAGTTAGCTTTCACCCTTGAGAAACATGCTTAAGATAGTGGCCTATGTACCAATTGTTTTAGACAACAAGTGAAATAGTGTACTAATTTGTTGAATGTAAAAAGGAGATGCTTTTTTCGAAAATCAGTTTGGCATCTGGCACACCACCATCAACGGTATAATAAATCAAAATTTTAAAATAAATATAACACAAAATTAAATCTGGAATCATACACGTGTAATTACCCAGATATAAACCGGCTTTTACGTGAGCGGGCCTGTGTTGGACCTTGTACTTCCTCCACTATGCACTATGAAACCGGAAAACAACAATCACTTAATAGACTAGTCAAAGAAAAAGGTAAAAATATAATGCTATTCGACAAATAACATCAAATCCTACTGTTCCAGAGATGATGGAGGCTGCCAATTTTCAAATTCAGTTGTGTGCATTTCATTTGAAACAGAGAATGCATCCAAATGATTGCAGTACTTACCACAGAATACCCGTTTCGTGTCAAGTCATCTAAAGTTTGCCGAAGGTTCTGCAGAATGAGCATTTTAAAATTATAAAGCATTGGCCAAGTGTGATATTGAATATAATAAACAAAATGCTTCTTTAATTATACTACAATTGATCATCCAGATGGAAAAGAAACAGCTAACTGAGATTTGTCCAAGAGAAATACACAGAAACAGATTATACAATAAAGGCATTCCTTCTCCAGGAGCGAAATTTGAAGAAAGCAGCAAGATAAAACAGATAGAAAAATGTTTGCACAAATGCAGAGTTCTGACATCTCTTTTAGGATGCAAATGGAGCAACTATGAATGCATCACACAAACATCTTCTGGGGACATGAGCAGAAAGCAACATATACAATCACATAAATATGCATGTGCATTGATAAATTTATATTATCATATATACATTTTCCAAAAGTGACTCCGTTGCTGCTTTGGCACTAAGAATCACTTCTTAGAATCTAAATCAAGCAACCTCAGCAGCTGAGCTGAAATTCCATTTTTAGCGCTTTAGAATTTTTTCCAAACCATATGATGATCTACTGTTTCATTCCAAAATGTCAAATAGGTGAGATCCCCTCAACACCCTACGGAATGTGAGTCTACATTCAGCCATAATTACCACCTAGGGCTTTTACCAACCTGAACATCAATCTAGAATCCTGTTTCCCCCTTCTAAAACCATGAAAGAGAACAATTCAGATATTTACGGCAAAATAAACCATTGAAAATACACGTATTTAAATTAAGTAAATAGATTATAAGCATGAAGGAAATAATTCATATACCACAACAGGGCAGCCAGCTCTAGGAATGCTATCTGATCTCAACCCACCAAAAGGATTCAAACCAGCATATTCAACAAGAAAACAAGCATCTATTCCAATTGCTTCATAAAAATCTCCAACCTGAAAACACAAATAGATTGTTGTGTTTGTCATTGCATACAGATGAGTATAAAATGAACACAAAATTTGAAGTTTGAAAGATGCAAGACTTGTTTTGAATATCTCATATGAGAGGACACATAGCCTAGCAATGAAAGGATGATAAGTTCCATACTCTGCAGAGTAAAACCTCACGTGGAAACTTGGACTTGAACTGCAACATCTCCCAATTGAGGTTTCCTTCTTTTAGACTGCATTGAACAATTTATTATTTCCACAACAGTCATCAGAAGGAAGCAAGAGTACAATCATTGGAATCAAAATACCATTCAAAAAAGAGCAACTTTGGTCAAACATTCATCGAAATCACCCTCTCCTTTTCTCATACTTATACACAAAATGGTAAGAGCATATCGTCAAATTAATAAGAGCTTACCTCCCGTTTTTCAAGTTAACATCCAAGCCAAGCAAATTGGAATACATAAGCCTTTTAACCAGCTGAATGGTAGAAGGCTTCCTGCACTGCTGCAGCCTCTGCAATAAGATACACAGCAGTCGATAAATTCCATAAACAGATAATCATTCATAAAATTAAGAAAAAAAAAAAAAAAAAAAAAAAAAAAAAAAAAAAAAGTTTAACATCCAAGCCAGCAAATTGGAATACATAAGCCTTTTAACCACAGCTGAATGGTAAGATAGGCTTCTGGGCACTGCTCGCAGCCCTCTGCTAATATGCTACACAGCAGTCGATAAATCCATAACAGATAATCATTCATAAAATTAAGACAAAAAAAAAAAAAAAAAAAAGAAAAAAAAAAACCGAAAAAAAAAAAAAAAAAAAAAAAAAAAAAGAAAAAAAAAAACAGACCTCCTTCCACCAGATTATGTGGGAAAGATCCTTATCATCCAAAACATTGTTTGATGCTTTGGATTTCTTTGTAACTCTTGCATTTCCTTTCAAATTTTTCTGTTCTTTTAAGCAACATACCCGCTCAACATCTTTTCTCCTGCTTTTAATAACCAGAATCATACAATTGAACTCCAAGCCAGCAATAGCAATCCTACAAATAGTTAAATGCACAAGCAACATATGCAAAACATATAAGCAACCAAACGAAAACGTAAATGGAGAGAGAAGTTACAGTAACGACGGTGACCGAGAAAATGAACTGTATTTGCAAGCAGGGGAACGGAGAAACAAAGTGAGGGAGCGCCACTTGGGGAGTGCAAAGACGACGTTTCTCGCAACTAACCAGTACATTCTGGGAAATAACTTTGTTCGTACAAATTTGTCTCTCAATCTCGCTCTTGCGAAATGAATTCGTTTGAAAAAATCATGAATATATTGAAGGTAAGATTCAGAGAATTTCACAATTTCTAGGGTTTTTGGGGATTTGAGCTACTTCTCCACTGCTTCAGCTCTGCCCGCCACAAACGATTAGAGCAACGGGGTTTTGTTTTGTTTTTACCATGAGTGGATAAAATATACGGATGTATTGGGGAAACGAAAGAGCAGAACACCCGTTTTTCGACGACTGTCGTTCAGTCTCGCGAGACGATAAAAAAGGCTTCGGAGTGAAGACAATGGAAACGACTTGTCAGTTTGTGGGTGCAAACTGCATGTCTCGCTTGCAAATCCAAATATAGTTAAGGCCTTTTACAGCAGGAAATTACGACGATTCAAATTTAATATTCAATTAAAATTGCATGAAAATATACCGGTTTTTTTTTTTTTTTTTGAGTGGAATGAAAATATACCGGTTAGTTGCTAGTCTGGTTTTGATTCTGAGCCATTCAACAATTTTGGATTACATAAAAAAATAATAGAAAAGAAAAATATTCCAAAATAATAAATACAATATTTTTCTTTTGAAAAGAAAAAGAAAGAAAGAAGAAGCACCACAACAATAGTATAGAAAATTTATTCTTAGCTAATTACATTTGGCAACAACAGTTAACAGCGTTAGACGCAGTTTCAACACTAAACTTTGCAACTGCAACTGCATCTACATCTGAAACTCCATTTTTGCCCTGATAAAACGAGAACATCATAATACAGATTTAATTAATTAATTAGCTAATTCCAAGAAAATCAAATAAGGATTACTAATTAAATACTTTATGTTCCATTTAAATTAATTATTTCAAGATTAAATCTGAATTTTCAAAATACTTTACCTGATCGGCCAATCCATTATTTCGCTTCCTATTTGATTGCAGCAACGTGTAATTATCAAGAAACAAAGCATCCTTATGATGATTAATATCTTTATCGCGATAGCAAGAAATACAGAGATCATAAGTATTCCCAGAGCCATTGAAGCACTGGACACAAGTGAAATAGACACCATCAAGAAAGACCCTGCACTCGTCACAAAAGAAAATTCTTTGGCTTGCGCATATGTAGTGTACAGTCACAATTTCATCGAAATCCAATGTGCCATTTCCATCCTCATCAAACTTTTTAAAGAAATCAGGAGTGGAAATTGTTTTATAACCTTTCTTGTGCTTGATATATTGTTCATATTCATCGAAAGTAATTTTTCCATCTCCATCTTTATCCATTTCGTTGAAGAGATCTTTCGCTAATCGCTTCTGCTTTTCTGATACGTTAGCATAATAAGCTTTTGCCGTCTCCGATATCTCTTCCATCATCTGTATATTATCTTTTCTGAACTGAAGCTTATTTATAATCTTTGATCGATTATCCAAGTTGTATATATACAATCTTAGCTAAGTATATGAAATTTCCTTGCACCAGCCTTTGATATAATTTTTTTTCTTCATGTAGAATTGGCTATTAGCAACAAACTAATAATTAAGTCGATTAATTATTGTTTAAACTATAGTTTTGCATAGACATTATCGTTTTAAATTGTCTTCGTTTTTTTTTTTTTTTCCATTGTATTTTACCAATTGTCTATATGGAAAAGGGTCAAACACAATAAGATACAGACACACTAATGCATAATTAGCAGATTATTATATATTGTGATTAATTGAAAATTTCCATCATAAGTTTAAAATTGAGATCAAATTCATATTAATTAATTAAGTCAAATATAATAATTAAATCGATCAACTTCAATGGATCAGTATTTATTTTTTTTCATTAGCTAACTGTTAGGAATAAATATGCAAAGAATATTAGGAAATTACAAAGAACTCATGACCCATGCATATGCTTCATCCATATGGATGAAGATGATGAAAGTCTACTGAATAGCCAAATCACAAATTGAACAAACAGAAATGATATAAAATTTGTGAGTTTTAGGACAACATGCAATGTATAGAACTTCCAATTAATTAAGTTTTTCCTGGACACAAATAATTAATAAAAAAAATGTAAAAACTTCCAAGGACTGCTTCACATAATGCAACAGGAGGACAAAACAGCAGCAGCTAATTGAGCTCCTGCTGGAATTGTTTCCAGGCGATTCTGGGAAAATGATAACATTAAAAATAGAATCAACAAATTGTAGAGAAATGTGTCAAGCAAATTATTTAAGCGGAATTAAAATATAATTGCAGGAATTGAACTATAAATATAGAAAACAAATTACGAATTCTGTTAATTTTTCATTTATGTGAAAAAGAATTACAAATGTAATTACAGAATCCTCTGCGAAATGGTAAAGGGAATTTCATATATAAAAAATGAACGACTGTAACCGATTCTTTTGGAAAACCAATTATTTTTCTCACAAACGAACACATTCTTCCACGAATCTGTAGTCCAGTGAGACCGTTATAGGTGTCGTCTAACTCTTTCTTTCTTATGAAGTAAGTCACAAATTGAGAAAAAGATAACAGGAGACGACTTACCAAGTCCAAGTTCAATGAGAAAAGCGCAGACTCGTAAATTATGCACAAGTTGTTTCATAGACCTGTAGACGTTTACACAAGTCCTGTAGACGTTTACACAAGTCTTCAATGGTTATCCCTCTATCCCATTCCAGGAAAAGTACTTGGAAATTGAATATATACATAATAATAAGCTACATAAATGCAATCTTTATGTATTATTTGAGGGAAGATGGGTTTAAAAAGAAAAAACAAAACAATCCAGAAGATTTCTTTTGAGCAAATTTACATTTGGTTACATAAGTTAAAAACATTAGACGTAGTTTCCATACCAAACTTTGCAAGTTCAACGGTCCCCTTAACTCCTTTGTTTCCCTACATCATAATATAGATTTAATTATTTCCAGGAAAGTCAAATACTTTAAAATATGAATTCCAAGATTATTTCTGAATTTTCAAAATATTGTACCTTGCTTGCTGATGCATTATTCTGATTCCTCTTGGCTTGCAGCATCGTGTAATTATCGAGAAACACAGCATCCTTGTGATGATTAATGATATTCTTATCGCGATAGCAAGAAACACAGAGATTTTGTTCATAAGTTAAAAACATTAGAACCGTAGTTTTCCATACCAAACTTTTGCAAGTTCAACGGTCCCCTTTAACTCCTTTGTTTCCCTTACATCATAAATATAGATTTAATGTATTTCCAGGAAAGTCAAAATACTTTTAAAATATGAATTCCAAGATTATTTCTGAATTAATCCAAAAATATTGTACCTTGCTTGCTGATGCATTATTCTGATTCCTCTTAGGCTTGCAGCATCGTTGTAAAGTTATCGATGAATCGGAATACCTTGCTTGCTGATGCATTATTCTGATTCCTCTTGGCTTGCAGCATCGTGTAATTATCGAGAAACACAGCATCCTTGTGATGATTAATGATATTCTTATCGCGATAGCAAGAAACACAGAGATCATAAGTATTACCGGAGCCATTGAAGCACGGGACACAAGTAGAATAGACTCTATCAAGAAAGATTCTACACTCATCGCAATAGAAAACTCTTTCGCTTGCGCATATGTAGTGTACAGTCACAAATTCACAAAGCTTCATAACGAATTATTGAAGTGGTAATTAGGGCACCCTTATGTATATACACACACGATGACTCCAGCTTTCAAATTTTTTACTTTGTAAGTAAATAAAGTTTGTAAAAGCAAATACTATTATTTATTTACATATTAAATTCATTCTAATTTTAATTTTAAAATCAATTTAATATGCATGGAAGTAACATATAAAATAAAAATGATTTTTTGAATTTAAACATACATTTCCATTTTTTTTATAATTTAAAGGTGAACTAATTAAAGTCTAAACCTCCAAATTATCTATTCCAAGAGAAATATTGAACGGAGCTTAAAATTAGTAGTTGTTTTATTACTCTTTATTCGCCATAAACTCTTTTATGGGCAAAAGGCCTCTTCGTGAGCATAAATTTAATTTTCAAACTTCGAATTTTTTTTCTCCTTTTTTTAGTTATATTTATAGATCAAATAAAAGTTTTATATTCAATGTTTTAATTTCAAATCGAATGGATTTAAATTATCAAACTTAGATTTGAATAAAAAAATGAATTAAGTAATATTAAGAAATTTAAATTTGAGTGAAATTTTAAAAATTTATTTTGTTATGCTTGAATATGATTTAAAATGGCATATTTTATTATCCATATATATTCTACATATTTATATAATCCTAAAATAAGAAAATATCATTAAAAACCTGACTTGGCACTCTCCTCTTCCTCCATTATCTTTTTTTTCTTTTGAATTGATTTATCCTATTAACCTATTGGATAATGTGTAATTTTCTTTGGTAGGAGACGTACCATATTCAGATATCTTCCTTAGCAGTTTTCTTATCTAGCATTTACATTTACAATCAGGTTAGTCAACTTATGTCAAGTCATTGGTACACTTTTTAAATTTAAATTTACAATATCAAAAATTAGGCTGCAGTGATAACTATTTATTTTCATTTATCAAGAAGATTAAAGTGGAAAATAACAATAAAACAATTTCACTCATTGTGCGGACCTTTGTTTAGTTATTAAATGAAATTAAAACAACGAGAAGTATAGTCAAGCACACAAGTTTTACAGCTCTCTTTTTTGTTGAAGGCTGCAAAATATACATTTTACATGACAGAACAATTTGATGCAAGATCAGCAGCACTACTTAAATGCTCAGCAAAATTACTTCCATGTCCCGAAACATTGGATACGACATCAGCAGAAGTACTTCCATGCTCGGATAATCCGGATGCAGCGTCTGGTTTACTAGTTGCCACAAACTTTGCAGTATTTATTCCTAAATTCACCATCGAGACCCCTAACATAGCTGCTGTAAGTTTATCCCTCGTACGTATCTGAAAAATCAAGATGGATCTTAATTATTATATGCATGAAGATTTGTTGTTTGATATTTCTAAGAGTAACAGAACTATGTTATATTATATATACATACCTTACCACCGGAGCTTCGAGTTGTGGAGCCATTGTTATCTGCAGAGCCTTTAACTGCGAAGCAGTGGAGTTGTATATTATCGACAAAGGTAGCATCCTTATGATGATCAATGTTGTTTCTGCTATAACAATCATAACAAATATTATAGGGATCCCCAGAACCATTATTGAAGCATTGACGGCAACTCATGTAGGATCCAGAGAGAAAGACCCCGCATTCTCCACAATATATCAGTTTATTGTTCATGCAGAGGTAGTAGACAGTGATATATTCATCGAAATCGAGTCTGCCATCTCCATTTGTATCCAATGCTTTGAACAAATCGGGATAAGTAAGCTCTACAAGCCCTCTTTGTTTAAAATATTCCGAGTATTCCTTGAGGCTCACTTTTCCACTTCCAGTTTTATCCATTGCACTGAACCCATCCTTTGCCTTTTGCATTTCTGCAGGTGGCAAGCTTCTATAATAAGCTGAAGCATCCAGTCTTCAATGGTTATTCCTCTATCCCATTCCAGGAAAAGTACTTGGAAATTGAATATATACATAATAATAAGCTACACAAATACAATCTTTATGTATTATTTGAGTGAAGATGGGTTTACAAAGAAAAAACACAACAATCCAGAAGATTTAGTGAAGATGGGTTTACAAAGAAAAAACACAACAATCCAGACGATTTCTTTTGAGCAAATTTTACATTGGTTACATTAAAGCTTAACAACATTAGTGACGTAGTTTCAATACCAAACTTTGCCAGTTCAACGGTCCTCCTTAACTCTTAGTTTCCCTATCTCATTAATACAGAGATTTAGATTATTTCGAGGAAAGTTCAAATAACTTTATAAAATATGAATTCCAAGATTATTTCTGATTTTCAAATATCGTACCTTGGCTTGCTGATGCATCATTCTGATTTCCTCTTGGCTTGCAGCATCGTGTAATTATCAGAAACACAGCATCACTTGTTATTGATTAATGAATTCTTCATGCGCGATGCAAGAAACACGAGATTCATAAGTATTACCGGAAGCCATTGAAGCCACTGGACACAAGTAACTAGACTCTTCAAGAAAGACTCTACACTCATCGCAATAGAAAACTCTTTCGCTTGACGCATACTGTAGTGTTTACAGTCACACAAATTCAGGGCGAACTTCCCGAAATCCAATGAGCCATTTCCGTCCTTATCGAGCTTCCTAAAGAAATCCGAAGAAGCAATTGTTTTAAAGCCTTTCTTTGTCTTAATGTATTGCTCATATTCATCGAAAGTAATTTTTCCATCTCCATCTTTATCCATTTCGTTGAAAAAATCTTTTGCTAATCGCTTCTGCTTTTCTGATAAGTTTGCATAATAAGCTTTTGCCGTCTCTGATATCTCTTCCATCATCTGTATATTATATTCTCTCTTCTAAATTGAAGATCATTTATAATGATTGATTAATCTTAGGTATTTTGGAATTTCTTTTAATATATTCTTTTCTTAGTTGACTGATTCTTGTTTTAATGTCATTGTCGAATACAGCCTTGCATATGGGCAATGGCGGGTTGCTTGAGCCTAAATACGAAACTTCCATGGTCTATCCTGCGTGGAAAATAGTGAAACACAAAACGACAAAGATACAACAATGGAATTAACCGCATTTCTTCTATGGTCGGACAAGTTGAATGCGGGTATTTGAGCAGCTTCTGAAGGGTTTTGAAGGGGATGATCAAAAGCGTGTTTTGCATTTTCCCATAATTCTGGTCCACTAGTCGTTGCAAACTTTGCAGTATTTATTCCTAAATTCACCGCTGAAACCCCTAATATAGCTGCTGTAAGCTTATCCCTCGTTGTTATTTTCTGAAAAACCGTCGCAATGGGTAAATAATTCAAGTAAAATCGTGATGATATGCATGGCTATGTGTTGTTTGACATTTGTAATAGTTACAAGCTGTACAGTTTTCTTTTTATCTAGGGCCGCTAGATATGGTTTTACAGCTCTGCTAGACATGCAAATCAAGTTCTAATTTATGCACGTGGAAGAGACATGATTGAGAGAAATTTAAAGCCTAATGAGAACTTTATTCCCTAAACAAGTTGGAATTTATTTCCTAAACAATGTGGATTTATTCCCTAAACAATATAGAAGTTCTCTCCCAAGAAGTCTATATAAAGAGAGGAAGGATATCATATCCCATATCATTCTACTCAATTCCATCTCATTCTCTTAGTCTTGTAGATAGTTTTACTTTTTTTAAGAGTTCAAGCATTCAAGAGTTGTGCAAAGGTTCAAGGAAGTCATCCAAGCCAATTGTTAACTAGTTCTTATTTCTAAATTCTTAATCTTGTTTATTTCTTTCATTATTCTTATTGATCATGGAATATCTATCAAGTATTATTGAGTTTTATTTAAGTAACCCCTAATATAGCTGCTGTAAGCTTATCCCTCGTTGTTATTTTCTGAAAAACCGTCGCAATGGGTAAATAATTCAAGTAAAATCGTGATGATATGCATGGCTATGTGTTGTTTGACATTTGTAATAGTTACAGAATTATATATATACATACCTCACTACCAGAGCTTTGATCTGCGGAGCCCTTATTATTTGCAGAGTTCTTGAGTTTTTGATTATCGACAAAGGTAGCATCCTTGTGATGATCAATGTTGTTTTTGCGATAACAAGCACAACAAACGTTATAGGGTTTACCAGAACCACTATTGAAGCATTGAAGGCAACTCACGTACGATCCAGATAGAAACACCATACATTCTTCACAGAATATCAGTTTATTATTCATGCAGAGGTAGTAGACAGTGATAAATTCATCGAAATCAAGCCGGTCATCTCCATCCGAATCCAATGCTTTGAAAAATTCAGGATAAGTAAGCTCTATAAGCCCTCTTTGTTTGAAGTATTCTGAATATCGCCTGAGGCTAATTGTCCCATTTCCAGTTTTATCCATTAAATTGAACCCATTGATTGCCATCTGCTTATCTGCAGTTGCCAAGTTTCTGTAATAAGCTGAAGCAGCCTGTCGTATCTCCTCCATCTTTTAATCTATATCCGTTGGGTTTTTTTTTCTATTTTTTGCTTTTGCTTTTTGGTTTTGTGATTTTCCCTGTATATATTGCTTCCTACATGTATTTCAATTGATCCGCCAAAGTTGAATATTCAATTGGAAAGAAGTTGCCCTACAGTTCATACCGAATCTCAAAGCTGCCAATTGCAGAGAACCTTTCGTCTTTGGACCTTTTTTTTTTTTTAATCATCAACTCATATTTTATTTTATTAAATTAGTAAATAATTCACTACCTAATGAGTAATAGCTGTCCTTATTGGGAAGAAGCCGACAAGTAAAATACTCGCCTCCTCCAATCCATTTAATAAAAGTACAAATGGTCATAGAAAAGTTTAAAATGGCACAGACGATAAAATCATTATTTATAGTATAAATAGCTAGGGCTACGCATTTAAGTTTTTGATATATATTATCTGTTATCTGCTTATATTAAACAGGTTTTTTTATAATAGATACTCGTGGATATCCTACTCATTATTAGCAATAAAATGTATTTTAATTAAATTCGGATCTATTTTTTTTTTTTTAGCAAAAAATATCTTTATTTTATTTATATCTCAAATATTTAGTCCTATAACTTTCAATAATACAATTCCTTTAATCAAATGAGGCAAAAAATTAAAAGAGATAAAAGAAAGAGAAGTATGATGAACTCTATGATGAGTGGTCAAAAGATATACGGCTTGATTTCCTTCACGATATATGTGATGAATGGAAGAAGAGACGGATCTATTCATTCTATATTAATTCGAAAAACATATATTTACTCTCCCACAGTTTCCACGAAGGCTGCTTAACAAATTGCAAGACATCAAGTTCTTCCCACAGTTTCCATAAAGGCTGCTTAACAAATTGTAAGATAGTATCAAATTGTATTTCAAGTGTTTCTCTGAATCCTAACAGGACAACATTTCCTATCCCATTTTCCTCATAGCTAATCACTGAATTTGAAGTGTTAATAAGCTTAATAAGGAATTGCTGAAGTGGTAATTAGGGCACCCTTATGTGTACACACACACCACACGATGACATTAGGTTTCAAATTTTTGACTTTGCAAGTAAAAATAAAGTTTGCAAAAGCAAATACTATTATTTATTTACATATTAAATTCATTCTAATTTTAATTTTAAAATCAGTTTAATATGTCCAAGTAAAAATAAAGTTTGCAAAAGCAAATCCTATTATTTATTTACATATTAAATTCATTCTAATTTTAATTTTAAAATCAGTTTAATATGTATGGAAGTAACATATAAAGTCAATTTAACTAAAAATGATTTTTTTGAATTTAAACATACATTTCCGTTTTTATTATAATTAAAGTCTAAAACTCCAAATTATCTATTTCAAGGGAAATACTAAACGGAGCTTATAATTAGCAGTTGTTTTATTACTCTTTATTGGCGACAAACTCTTTTATGGGCAAAAGGCTTCTTTGTGAGCATATACATAATTTTCAAACTTCCATTTTTTTTTTCTCCTTTTTTTTTTTGTTATATTTATAGATCAAATACAAATTTTATATTCAATGTTTTAATTTCAAATTGATGGATTTAAATTATCAAACTTAGGTTCGAATAAAAAAAATGAATTAATTAAGAAATATTAAGGAATTTAAATTTGAGTGAAAATTTAAAATTTTGTTCTGCTGTGCTCCAGTATGATTTGAAATGGAATATATATTTTTTTTTATCAGCAAAACGAGATTATTTATTATTAAGAAAAAGTATTGTGCAAATAGAAAAAAGCTCTGCATCTCCTGGGAACTATATCCAAACCAGCAAGCTTTATTATTATAAGATGAAATTAAACAACAAGAAGTAGATATTTTACACTTCGTTGAAGGCTGCAAAGTATAAATTTTACATGACAGTACAATTTGATGCAATATCAACAGCAGTGCTTAAATGGTCAGGAAAATTGGATGCGACGTCAGCAACATTACTTCCATGGTCCGCAAAATTGGGTGCAACAGCAGCAAAATTACTTCCATGGTCCGAAAAGTTCCATGCAGTGTTAGCAGCAATATTAGTTCCATGATCAGACAAGTCGGCTGCGGAATTAACAGCATTACTTCCATGATCGGACAATTCGAATGCAGATTCAGCAGCACCTGAAGTATTTTTTTGGGGACCATCGAAAACTTGTTTTGCTTGTTCCCATAATTCTGGTTTACTAGTTGCCACAAACTTTGCAGTATTTATTCCTAAATTCACCACAGAAACCCCTAATAGAGCTGCTGTAAGCTTATCCTTCGTAGTCATCTGAAAAATCAAGATGGATATTAATTGTTATATGCATGAAGATTTGTTGTTTGATATTTCTAAGAGTATCAGAATTATATTATATAATATATACATACCTTACCACCGGAGCTTCGAGTTGTGAAGCCATTATTATCTGCAGAGCCTTTATTAACTGCGGAGCCTTCATTAACTGCGGAGCCTTCATTAACTGCAGAGCCTTTAACTGCGAAGCAATGGAGTTTTATATTATCGACAAAGTAAGCATCCTTATGATGATCAATGTTGTTTCTGCTATAACAATCATAACAAATGTTATAGGGATCCCCAGAACCATTATTGAAGCATTGAAGGCAACTCATGTAGGATCCAGAGAGAAAGACCCCGCATTCTTCACAATATATCAGTTTATTGTTCATGCAGAGGTAGTAGACAGTGATAAATTCATCGAAATCGAGTCTGCCATCTCCATTTGTATCCAACGCTTTGAACAAATCGGGATAAGTAAGCTCTACAAGCCCTCTTTGTTTAAAGTATTCCGAGTATTGCTTGAGGCTCACTTTTCCACTTCCAGTATTATCCATTGCACTGAACCCAGCCTTTGCCTTTTGCATTTCTGCAGGTGGCAAGTTTCTGTAATAAGCTGAAGCATCCAGTCGTATCTTCTCCATCTTTTAACTGTATGTACTGTGTTTTTCTAATTCTTTCTTTTGCTTTTGCTTTTTGGTTCTGTGATTTGCGCTTTATATAATGCTTCCTCAGTATGATTTGCGCTTTATATAATGCTTCCTCAGAGTTCCATCAAAGTGGATGGAAACTTCCTCAATATTAGCTAGTCCTAAAGGTATTTTCTCGGAATAACCTCTTATATCACTTTTTTTTTTTTTAAATTAAAAAATTAAATTTGTCTCTTTAAGCTTTTCCACAAATTGACTTGTCTGTGGGTATAGTTATTGACGAGTTTTCCCTTGTTTTGTCCAATTGGAATTTAAAATTAAGAAAAAACTAATTAAATAGTGATGGGTTTTAATAATTAATTCAAATTCATATGAAATTAAATTACAAATGTTTTGTAAATCATAATTATATTATTAAAATTTATAAATCATTGTCCTTACCGAAAAGAATGTAACATGTATTTGAGGATATTTCTCAACTCTTTCATTACATGTATTTGAGGATATTTCTCAACTCTTTCATTCTATTTAAAGAAGATATGAATAGTTATAGAGAGGTTTGGAACCGGTACAAACAGTGAAATTACTATTTTAACAATATGCTACTCATTACCTACTGTATTAAATAAGATTTTGATAATAGCTACTCATCATTATTAGCAACAAAATGTATTTTAAATGAATTTCAAATTTAAATTGATTAGAATTTGAGAATATAAATTTATTTAATATATATTTTCAACGGGTGTGACACAAATACAAGCAGTAAAATTATAAATCAAACTCCAAAACATATATTTACTTCCGGCGGTTCCATAATGGCTGCTTAACAAATTGTAAGATAGTAGTATCAATTTGACTTGGGAAGCGTACACAGATTTGAAGTGTTTGTCTGAATGCAAACAGGATAATATTTCCTATCCTATCCTATCCTATTTCCCTCATAGCTAATCATTGAATTTGAAATGTGAATAAGCTTAATTTTAAGCTACAGACCAGACCCTATGGACTAATAATTGATAATTGAGCCTAAGGTTCCAAGTGGTAATTAGGGCGCCCTTGTGTATATACACGCAACAACTCCAGGTTTTAAATTTTTGATTTTGCAAGTAAAAATAAAGTTTGCAAAAGCAAATAGTATATTATTTATTTACGTATCAAACTCATTCTAATTTTAATTTCAAAATCAATTTAATATGTATGGAAAATAAAAATGATTTTTTGAATTTAAACATGAACTAATTAAAGTCTAAACCTTTAAATTTTCTATTCCAAAGGAAATATTAAATGAAGCTTATAATCAGTAATTGTTACTACTTTATTTGCTACAAACTCAATATATGGGCAAGAAGCCTCTTTGTGAGCATAAATTCAATTTGCAAACTTAGAAAATTCTGTTTTGTTATGCTTGAATATGATTTAAAACGGCATATTTCACTATCTATATATTTATATAATCCTAAAATAAAAAAAATATATATCATTAAGAATCTGACTTGGCACTCTTCTCTTCCACCATTATCTTTTTTTGTTTAATTGATTTATCTTATTAACCTATTGGATAATGTGTAATTTTCTTTGGTAGGGGACATATAATACTCAAATACGTTTCTTAACACTTTTCTTATTTAGTATTTCCATTTACAATCAGATTAGACAATTTAAGCCAGGACATTGGTACACTTTTTCAATTTAAATTCTCAATATTAAAAATTAGACTGCAGCGATAATTATTTATTTTCATTTATCAAAAAGATTGTAGTGAAAAATAACAATAAAACAATTTCACGCGTTGCGCGGACCTTTATCTAGTTATAAATTGAAATTAAAACAACAAGAGGTATAGACAAGCACTGAAGTTATACAGCTCTCTTTTTTGTTGAAGGCTGCAAAATATACATTTTACATGACAGAACAATTTGATGCAAGTTCAGCAGCAGTACCTAAAAACTCAGCATAATCACTTCCATGGTCCAAAAAATTGGATGCGACATCAGCAAAATCCAAAACATTGGATGCGACATCAGCAAAATCCAAAAAATTGGATGCGACATCAGCAAAATTACTTCCATGGTCCGCAGAGTTCGATGCAGTGTTCGCAGCAATACTAGTTTTTATTCCTAATTTCACCACCGAGACCCCTAATATAGCTGCTCTTAGCTTATCCTCCGTAGTTATCTGAAAAATCAAGATGAGCAAATTTACATTTGGTTACATAAGTTAACAGCATTAGACATAGTTTCAATACCCAACTTTGCAAGTTCAACGGTCTCCTCAACTCCTTTTTTTCCCTGATAAAAGATAAACATCATAATACAGATTTAACTGTTTCCAGGAAAGTCAAAAACTTTAAAATATGAATTTCAAGATTATATCTGAATTTTCAAAATATTTTACCTTACTTGCTGATGCATTATTCTGATTCCTCTTGGCGTGCAGCATCGTGTAATTATCGAGAAACACAGCATCCTTGTGATGATTAATGATATTCTTATCGCGATAGCAAGAAACACAGAGATCATAAGTATTACCGGAGCCATTGAAGCACTGGACACAAGTAAAATAGACTCTATCAAGAAAGACTCTACACTCATCGCAAAGTAAAAAAAGACTCTATCAAGAAAAGACTCTACACTCATCGCAATAGGGAAAACTCTCGGTTGCGCATATGTAGTGTACGTCAAATTATCGAAATTCAATGTGCCATTCGTCCTTTATCGAGCTTCCTTAAAGAATCCGAAGAAGCAATTGGAACTTTAAAGCTTTTCTTTGGCTTAATGCGTTGCTTATATTTCATCGGAAAGTAATTTTTCCATCTCCATCTTTATCAATTTCGTGAAAAATTTTTTGCCTTATCGCTTCTGCTTTTCTGATAAGTTTTGCATAATAAGCTTTTGTGTCTCTGATATCTCTCCATCATCTGTGTATTTATTCTTCTCTTCTAAATTGAAGGTCAATTTACAATTGATCGATTAATCTTTAGTTATGCTGTCTCTGATATCTCTTCCATCATCTGTGTATTATATTCTCTCTTCTAAATTGAAGGTCATTTACAATGATCGATTAATCTTAGGTATATTGGAATTTCTTTTAATATATTTTTTTCTTAGTTGACTGGTTCTTGTTTTAATGTCATTGTCGAATACAGCCTTGCATATGGGCAATGGCGGGTTGCTTGAGCCTAAATACGAAACTTCCATGGTCTATCCTCTGTGGAAAATAGTGAAACACAAAACGACAAAGATACAAAAATGAACCAGTCAAAGACAAGATTGTGAAACTAATGATTAATTATTTACAGATTATTCACACAAACGGATAACTTGATGTAATAATTAAACAAAATTGATCATTTGATGGAAAATATAAGAAATATCAAACAGATTGTGAAATGTCATAACAAGAAGGCAAATAGTGAATTCATGAGCATCAACATTCTTATTAATGAAGAGATGTTTCCCGTGAGAGTTATTATAAGAGTAAAATAAGCCAATTGTACCCAACTGCTAAAAGCTGTACAGTTTTCTTTTTATCTAGGGCTGCTAGATATGGTTTTACAGCTCTGTTTGTTTTAACTGCTAAATCATATTTTACATAACAGAACACGATGATGCACCTTCAAGAACATTACTCATCTGGTCAGAAAGGCTGGACGCAGCTTCAGCATTATCAGACGAGTATTTTGCAGTTTTAGCGGCATTAGTTCCATGACTAGACGAGTTGAATACAGTGGAATTAACCGCATTTCTTCTATGGTCGGACAAGTTGAATGCGGGTATTTGAGCAGCTTCTGAAGGGTTTTGAAGGGGATGATCAAAAGCGTGTTTTGCATTTTCCCATAATTCTGGTCCACTAGTCGTTGCAAACTTTGCAGTATTTATTCCTAAATTCACCGCTGAAACCCCTAATATAGCTGCTGTAAGCTTATCCCTCGTTGTTATTTTCTGAAAAACCGTCGCAATGGGTAAATAATTCAAGTAAAATCGTGATGATATGCATGGCTATGTGTTGTTTGACATTTGTAATAGTTACAGAATTATATATATACATACCTCACTACCAAAGCTTTGACCTGCGGAGCCGTTATTATTTGCAGAGTTCTTGAGTTTTTGATTATCGACAAAGGTAGCATCCTTGTGATGATCAATGTTGTTTTTGCGATAACAAGCACAACAAACATTATAGGGTTCAGAACCACTATTGAAGCATTGAAGGCAACTCATGTACGACCCAGATAGAAACACCATACATTCTTCACAGAATATCAGTTTATTATTCATGCAGAGGTAGTAGACAGTGATAAATTCATCGAAATCAAGCCGGTCATCTCCATTTGAATCCAATGCTTTGAAAAATTCCGGATAAGTAAGCTCTACAAGCCCTCTTTGTTTGAAGTATTCTGAATATCGCCTGAGGCTAATTTTTCCATTTCCAGTTTTATCCATTAAATTGAACCCATTGATTGCCATTTGCTTATCTGCAGTTGCCAAGTTTCTGTAATAAGCTGAAGCATCCAGTCGTATCTTCTCCATCTTTTAACTGTATGTACCGTGTTTTTCTAATTCTTTCTTTTGCTTTAATTTGCTTTTTGGTTCTGTGATTTGCGCTTTATATAATGCTTCCTCAGAGTTCCATCAAAGTGGATGGAAACTTCCTCAATATTAGCTAGTCCTATAGGTATTTTCTCGGAAGAACCTCTTACATAACTTTTTTTTAAAAATTAAAAAATTAAATTTGTCTCTTTAAGCTTTTCCACAAATTGACTTGTCCTTTCGTATAGGACGGAAAGAACCTAATCAGATTCTTATCAATCTAAAGATACTGTGGGTATAGTTATTGACGAGTTTTCCCTTGTTTTCTCCAATTGGAATTTAAAATTAAGAAAAAATAATTAAATAGTGGTGGGTTTTAATAATTAATTCAAATTCATATGAAGTTAAATTACAAATGTAATTCATTAAATTTTATAAACCATAATTAAATTACTAAAATTTTGTAAATCATTGTCTTTACTGAGAAGAATGGGACATGTATTTTAGAATAATTTCCTCCTCTTTCATTTAAAAAATGTATGAATAGCAATAGAAGGGTTTGAAATAGATACAAACAGTGAAATTACTATTTTTAACAATATGCTACCCATTACCTACTATATTAAATAAGTATTTGGTAATAACTACTCATTATTAGCAACAAAATGCATTTTAAATAAATTTCAAATTTAAATTGATTAAAATCTGAGGATACAAATTTATTTAATATGTATTTTAAACGGATCTGCAAATAGTAAAATTATAAATCAACTCGAAAATATATATTTACTTCCGGCGGTTCCATAAAGGCTGCTTAACAAATTGCAAGACAGTAGTATCAATTTGACTTGGGAAGCGTACATAGATTTCAAGTGTTTGTCTGAATGCAAACAGGATAATGTTTCCTATCCTATCCTATCCTATGGACTAACAATTGATAATTGAGCCTAAGGTTCCGATTCTATTACACAAAGAAGTAATTGTTGAAGCCGTAATTAGGGCACCCTTATGTATCTACACAGAATGACTCTAGGTTTTAAATTTTTAACTTTATAAGTAAAAAAAAAAATTTGCAAAAGCAAATAGTATATTATTTATTTATATATTAAACTCATTCTAATTTTAATATCAAAATCAATTTAATATGTATGGAAACTAAAAATGATCTTTTTGAATTTAAAAGTCCATTTTCATTTTTATTCTAATTTGAACGTGAAGTGATTTAAGTCTAAACATCCAAATTTTCTATTCCAAAGGAAATATTAAAATGAAGCTTATAATCAGTAATTGTTACTACTTTATTCGCGACAAACTCAATATATGGGCAAGAAGCCTCTTTGTGAGCATAAATTCAAATTTCAAACTTAGAAAATTCTCTCTTTTTTTTGTTTTATCTATAGATCAAATAAAAATTTTAGATTCAAATCGATGGATTTAAATTATCAAACTTTTTTTTGTTTTATCTATAGATCAAATAAAAATTTTAGATTCAAATCGATGGATTTAAATTATCAAACTTATATTTGAATAAACAAGTGAATTAATTATGTAATATTAAGGAATTTAAATTTGATTGAAATTTTAAAAATTTGTTTTGTTATGCTTGAATATGATTTAAAACGGCATATTTCATTGTCTATATGTATTCTACATATTTATATAATCCTAAAATAAAAAAATATCATTAAAAATCTGACTTGGCACTCTTTTCTTCCACCATTATCTTTTTTTTTAATTGATTTATCCTATTAACCTATAATGTGTAATTTTCTTTGGTAGGGGACATACAATACTCAGATATATTCCTTAACGGTTTTCTTATTTAACATTTCCATTTACGATCAGGTTAGACAATTTATACCAGAGTGTTGGTACACTTTTTAAATTTAAATTCACAATATTAAAAATTAAATTGCAGCGATTTTTCATTTATCAAGAAGATTACAATGGAAAATAATAATAAAACAATCTCACCCGTTGCGCGATCTTTTTATCTAGTTATAAAATGAAATTAAAACAACAAGAGGTATAGCCAAGCACTGAAGTTATACAGCCCTCTTTTTTTGTTGAAGGCTGCAAAATATACATTTTACATGACAGAACAATTTGATGCAATTTCAGCAGCAGTAACTAAATGCTCAGCGACATCAGCAAAATCCAAAACATTGGATGCGACATCAGCAAAATCCAAAACATTGGATGCGACATCAGCAAAATCCAAAACATTGGATGCGACATCAGCAAAATATCCAAAACATTGGATGCGACATCAGCAAAATTACTTCCATGGTCCTCAAAGTTCGATGCTGTGTTCGCAGCAATACCAGTTTTTATTCCTAATTTCACCATCGAGACCCCTAATATAGCTGCTCTAAGCTTATCCTCCGTAGTTATCTGAAAAATCAAGATGGATCATAATTATTATATGCATGAAGATTTGTTGTTTGATATTTCTAAGAGTAACAGAATTATATTATATTATATATACATACCTTACCACAGGAGCTTCGAGTTGTGGAGCCATTGTTAACTGCAGTGCCTTTTTTAACTGCGGAGGCTTTATTAGCTGCGGATTGGAGTTTTTGACTATCGACAAAGTAAGCATCCCTATGATGATCAAATTTGTTTCTGCTATAACAATCATAACAAATGTTATAGGGATCCCCAGAACCATATTTGAAGCATTGATGGCAACTCATGTAGGATCCAGAGAGAAAGACCCCGCATGCTTCACAAAATATCAGTTTATTGTTCATGCAGAGGTAGTAGACAGTGATATATTCATCGAAATCGAGCGTGCCATCTCCATTTGTATCCAACGCTTTGAACAAATCGGGATAAGTAAGCTCTACGAGCCCTCTTTGTTTAAAAAATTCCGAGTATTGCTTGAGGCTCACTTTTCCACTTCCAGTTTTATCCATTGCATCGAACCCATCCTGTGCCCATCGCTTTCCTGCAGGTGTCAAGCTTCTATAATAAGCTGAAGCATCCAGTCGTATCTTCTCCATCTTAATTGTACGTACTGTGTTTTTCTAATTCTTTTTTTTTTTTGCTTTTGCTTGTGCTTTTTGGTTCTGTGATTTGCGCTTTATTCTGTGATTTGCGCTTTATATAATGCTTCCTCAGTTCAGTTCCATCAAAGCGGATGGAAACTTCCTACTCCTGCATCAATATTAGGTATTTTCTTGGAAGAACCTCTTACATAATTTTTTTAATAAATTAAAAAATTAAATTTGGCCGAAGATACGAACACTAACTTATGATATCATATTACTATATAGAGTAAAAAATATATATATATTCAAATACATTGAATACTCAACTGGAAAGAAATTGTTAAATGGCTGCTAATTGCAATCGCCAACAGCTTATGTCTTCAAGATTTTCCACAAGTTGATTTGGCCTTTTCGTCAAGGACAAAAAGATTCTAATTAGAGATTTTTATGAATATAAATATATTCATTTCAAAAAAAAAAAATATATATATATATATATTTCATTTGACAAAAGTAAATTAAAAGGAAAAGAAATTAGACAGTGGGGTATAGTCATTGGACGACTTTCCCTTGTTTTCGTCCACTTGGAATTTAAAATTAAGAAAAAAAAAACTTTCGTCCACTTGGAATTTAAAATTAAGAAAAAAAAAACTAATTAAATAGTGATGGGTTTTAATAATTAATTCAAATTCATATGAAATTAAATAAATTCAAATTCATATGAAATTAAATAAATTCAAATTCAAATGAACTTAAATTACAAATTTAATTGAAGAAATTGACCCCTAATAGTGATCAAGTCTCAATTAAAATTATTCCATATATCTTTACTACCTAATGGTATTATAGTAAATCTGATTTCTGGCATGTTTTAAGCTCCCATTTCATGGAACTTCTCTATTGATTTTGCCTATTTTACGTTTCATTGTTGTACAAGTAAACATCAATTACTAGAATAGGTTTGGGATGGAATCTTTTAATGGGCCGAAAAATTGGGCCTAAGTGGGATAATTTGGACTTGGTTTGGTTGGGGGCTGATATCCAGTGAGATCAACCCCTCCAAAAATAAGCGTATGCCACAATAGAGCGGCAAGCACACGGTATTCTTTAGTAAAAGGCGAAAGAATAGTTCGCTATGTGCTTACCGCATGGGCGCTTAATTAAGATATCGATTTGAGCTTGTTATGTAGAAAGGTTCCTGTGACACGGTATTCATGTTACCGATGTGGGATTTGTTGCATTACACTTTTGCTGTAACACTTCTTTAAGTCTTTGCCTAATTTGACTATTTGACTTGTTACTTTGGGTAAATAACAAATTCATATTTAGGCCATTTCTACCACAGGCTCATTCAAAATCAAAAATTGACCAAATCAGTTAAGTTTAGTATATATTTTTTTATTAATATTTTGTTAATTTAATAGATATTTTCAATTTTACATCATCTATTCAAAAAATGTAGTTTTTTTTTTTTTTTTTTTTGAAATCTTTCATGAGATTGGTATCTAAATTTTACATATTTGGGTTTCTATTCATTTTTTCTGCTATTTTTAAATTCATAAAAATACTTATCAGTTTTTTTTATTTCAAAATGTTTTCTTTAATATATGCATTACAAGTGCCACTTTTATTTAAAAATTTTATTTTTTTTATATTCATTTGCTTAAAATTTCTTATTGCCAAATATCTCAACCCTTAATTTTACAAACTTGAGATCAATTAATTACTAAAACAAATCCACATTGTGTATTAAGAAATACATCTGGTCTTAAAACATTTCAAATATTTGATTAAATGAAAGTCAAAGTAAGAAAATTATAAATTGTTCATTAAACTTAGGGTTTGATCGGCAAAATTAGTTGTTTTAGTAACGTTTAACCGTTAACTGTTTGATTAGTTTTTCATGAAACGCTAAAAGTTAGATGTTACATGAGTTAACTTTTCACACAATGCTACCATACCCTTTAAAAAATTAATTCAAATGTTATGATACCGAACAGTTTTTTAAAAAAGCCATTTAAAAAGTTATTGCCGAACATAGCTTTAACTCATGTATTTTTCTTGAACGACAATGGTTTCGGGAAATATTGTCAATCAAGTTTTAGAATATTAAGTAAACAATAATATGTCGTATATGTAAACTATTTCAATTATCTTATTAATTACAATTAACTTGATTTTTTTATTTTGAGAAGAGAATTAACTTGATTTAATTAGAATATCCAAATGATAAGATTAGAATATCAAAATGAGTTTTTCATATTGAATATTTCACCATAATTCATGGAAAAACAGTTACATATCAGATAAATTTAACATGCAAAACATTTTTAGGACAAAGTCAAAAAGAATAAAAGTTGATTTTTCATTTATGCGGAAAAGAATTACAAATGTAATTACAGAATCCTCTACGAAATGGTAAAGGGAATTTCCTATATAAAAAATGAGCGACTGTAACCGATTCTTTTGGAAAACCAATTCTTTTTCTCACAAATGAACACGTTCTTCCACGAATCTGTAGTCCAGTGAGACCATTATAGGCGTCGTCTAAGTCTTTCTTTCTTATGAAGTAAGTCACAAATTGAGAAAAAGATAACAGGAGACTATTAGGATACCGGCAATAAAGTTACGAGAATAATTACGCAGCGAAAAAATTAAAATGGGACACAAAAATTTACGTGGTTCACCCTCAACTATTTAGGCAAAAATTTACGTGGTTCACCCTCAACTATTTAGGGCTATGTCCACGGGCCAACTCCGAATATTTCTTCCACTATTAAAAATAGTAAGCTTACAAAGAGAGTAATACAAAATAGTAGCACTCACAAGTGTTTTCCAAAAACACCCCAATAATCTTCACTATTTTTCTAACCCTTAGTTTTAAGAACCCTTCTTAAAACTGAACTCTCTAATGCTTCTCTCGCTTGTTGTTGGTGCATCTAAACTGAGAAACATCCTCTCCTATTTATAGGAGAGGGAATGAGAGAGTCGTGTGTTTGTTACACACGGCTACCATTAATTTTTTAGTTGGTTTGCCGACTTTGAATAGTTGGCAACCAAAACCAACCTTTTGCTTTTTCAAACAGCACATTTTTTTTTCTCTTTATTATTATTATTTTTTTTCTTTTCAAACTGTGTGGGTCCCACTTGAGTGGGCACACCACCACCAACAAATCTCCCCCTGCACGCTCAAGTGAGGACGTCAGCCAAACTCTCCATCATCCCTGCAGCTAATCAGCAATATTCAAATTTGTCTTTTGGAAGAATCTTCGTTAACATATCTGATCCATTTTCATCTGTATGGATCTTTTCAAGCTGTAACTGCTTCATCTCCAATACATCCCTGATCCAATGATATTTAACATCAATGTGCTTTGATCTTGAATGAAAGGAGGAATTCTTCCCAAGATGAATCGCACTCTGACTATCACAGAATATCAAATATCGTTCTTGATGAATTATGAATTTCGAGTTCATTCAAGAACTTCTTCATCCATAGCAACTCTTTGCATGCTTCTGTTAGTGCTATGAATTCTGCCTCAGTTATTGATAGAGCAACACATTTCTGCAATCTTTATAGCCACGACACGGCTCCCCCTACAAATGTGATTAGATATCCTAATGTAGACTTTCTCGAGTCAACATCCCCATCCATATCTGCATCGGTATAACCGACTAATACTGGCTTCTCATCTCCAAAGCATAAACATACTTTGGCTGTACCTCGAAGATACCTGAAAATCCATTTCACTGCAGTCCAATGTTCTTTTTCAGGATTTGAAAGAAACCGACTCACTACTCTAACTAAGTGAGCAATATCTGGCTGTGTACAAACCATGGCATTCATCAAGTTTCCAACTGCTAAAGCATATGGAATCTTTTCCTTTTCTTTCTTCTATCCATCCGTAGAAGGGCACTGGTTAGAACTCAATTTACAGTGGTTAGTAAAAGGACAACTAACTGCTTTAGCATTCTCCATTCTAAACCTTTGAAGTACTTTCTCAATGTACTTCTCCTGTGGCAACCATAATTTCTTGGCTCTTTGATCTTCATGCCAAGAATTTGCTTTACTGGTTTTCTCGTAATCTTCATGCCAAGAATCTGCTTTGCTGGTCCTAAGTCTTTCATAACAAAAGACTTACTTAGCTGTTTTTTCAAGCTATTAATTTTGACAGAATTTTGACCAACAATCAACATATCATCTACATAGAGCAAGAGAATAATATAGTCATCATCAGAGAATTTCTTTACGAAGACACAGTGATCTGAAATAGTCTTTTTGTAACCTTGCTCCCCCATAACAGATTCAAACTTCTTATACCACTGTCTTGGTTGCCTGTTTTAAACATTTACAAGCTTTTCTTCAACTTACATACGTAATTCTCTTTTCCTTTTTCGATGAAACCCTCTGGCTGCTCCATGTATTTTCTTCTTCCAAGTCACCATGTAGAAAGGCAGTCTTCCATCCATTTGCTCAATTTCCAGGTTAAAACTGGCGGCCATTCCGAGGCATTGTCCTGAATTGGATGTCATTTTCACAACTGGTTGAAAGATTTCATCAAAATCAATACCCTTTCTTTGATTTGAATCCTTTTCACACCAGTCTAGCTTTTGAATCGTTGGTTGGGGCTTGTGTTCTTCCTGCTGATCCTGAACACCCACTTGTTCTTCAAAGCCTTCTTGCCTTTGGGCAACTTACCAGTCAAATGTTTTATTCTCATGCAAGGGATTTTCATTTCATCTTGCATGGCTTCAATCTAGTTTCCTTTTGTTTCTTCCATTTTGCTTCTTCAAAGCATTCAGGTTCTCCCCGTCAGTCATCCAATTACACTTTCATGCTGAATATCTAGTAGATGGTTGTCTGAACTCTACTAGACCTTCTTAATGTTTGAGAAACCTTCTGGTGCTAGTGGCTGAACATGAACACCACAAAATCTTCTTTCTGTCAAAATCTTCTTCTGGTTCATTCTGATAAGGAACTTCTGGATTTTCTAACTCTGGCTCTTGTTCTTGTGGAATAGTTTCTTCATCTCCAACTTGTCTTTATCCTGTTGCTGGAGGAACTATTTGTACATCTGTTGAATCATCTTCGGATCTATCGGCAGCTTGCTTCTGAGTCTTTTCAACATCTTCAATAGTCTGATTTTTAACAAATAAAGCATCTCTACTTCTTATCATCTTTTTCTGGAGTGGATAAAAAAATTTATAGCCAAATTGATCTTGGCCATAGCCAATGAATACACATTTTCGAGTCTTGACATCAAGCTTAGACCCCTCATCCTTAGGAATATGCACAAATGTTTTGCAACCAAACACCCGCAAGTGATCATAGGAAACATCCTTTCCTGACCATACTCTTTCTGGAGTATCATACTGTAGAGGAACACAAGGTGAACGATTTTAAGATGAACTGCTGTAAGAAGAGCTTTCACCCCAAAAATCTTTTAAACCAACTTTGCGTGTGAGAGTAAACATTGACTCTCTCCATCCAAAGTTCTGTTTCATTCCTCTCAAGCCAAAACCATCAATTGCGGCGTCTGGGATGGTGTTGTTTTGAGTCGCATACCATGCTATTTGCAGAAGCTGCAGAAAGCATCAAATGGCCTAGTGTATTCTCCACCATTATCTATTCTGATGCACTTCAGCTTTTTGCCTGTCTATCTCTCAACCAAGTTTAGAGATTATCTAAAAACATCTAAAACTTGATCTTTAGACTTTAGAGTGTATACCCAGGTCTTCCCAGAATGGTCATCGATAAATGTTACAAAGTATCGATTTCCTCCATATGACATCATTAGTGGTCCACACAGATCTGAATGCACTAGATCTAACACATTCTTCATTCTAGAAGACTGAGAAATCTTGAAAGCTACTCTATTTTGTTTTCCTGCCATGGAATCAGAACACTTCTCTAAATGGACTTTATCCAATCCAGATAGCATGTTGTTTCTGACCAGAGTTGTCATTCCTTTCTCACTCATATGGCCTAGTCTCGTTTATGCCACAATTCAACTGTACTGTCATCCTCCGCTACATTTAAAGTATCCTCCGCTACATTTAAAGTATCTCGGGCGAGCTTCGCATGCATCACGTACAACTTTGGATCTTTCCTTCCATTGGCTACCACCATGGAACCTTTTGTGAGTTTCCACTG